TTCATGCGAACGAAAAGCGGAAGTTCTTCTGACAACATTTATCCAAAGCATTACTGATGTAAAAGAGATTACAGAAGAAACCAGTGTTTTGACAAAGAAGTATAATAAAGAGCCGCCATTTAATTACAACGTATATTTAAAAGAAATTCACTTTTATGAAGTTTGGTCCCTCGTAACGGATTGGCTTTATCCAGACTGTACAATTCTTTCAGTACAAGCTAAGCGCGTATCTGGAAAATTAGCCGTTAGAATTGTTTGCTTGGCTATTCTGTATTGCCAGCATTTAAGGACGCTCACGCTAGAAACGCCAAAGCGACTGTCATATTATCAACAAATGAGTGAGATCCTCGTGTCTGTAGAAAATCTGCCACGTTTGAGAGTTTGTGCTTTCAAATTGTTTAAAGCGACAAATGATAAGGTGCTTGAATTAGTTTCAAGAATTTCACATAATTTAGAATCATTATCGGTTGATTTCCAAGACAGATCCTTAGAGGAATCTACAAAGACCAGTCTTCAGAAACTCATTGAGACACAGCGTTATCTAAAAACAGTTTATATAAAACGGTTAAGCACAAACATGACTTCAATATTCGAGTTACTAAACGTACAACCAAATTGTCTCGAATCAATTACATTGTTGGGAATCAAATTCGGCGAAAGTATGCAGTCCAAGCCATTACAGTTTCATCGAGTGAAGAGCATTGACTTGCGTTCATGTACAATACCAAAGATAGACACTATGAACCCAATAACTGAGACCGAATTACCCCACTTACAAGAGCTTACTTTTAGAGGTATAGAAATGTCGTGTGAGACTTTGAGGAAAATCTTGCAAAAGCATGGGGGGAAATTGGTTAGTCTAAAGATTGGAAAGCAAGTAATACCTGATAATGTTTTTACAACTATATCGCAAGTTTGTTGCAAACTTGAATACTTGTCTGTTGGCGTATTTGAAGACCAGTTATCTATTGTTGCAAATACTGTAGCAAATCGACCAAATATACATTCTCTTGTATTGTCGGGTTTATCTAAAAAGAGCTCGACTTCTCTTTTTTACACGTTTTCCAAGTATGAATTCCCACATTTATATAATTTAGAATTACACAATATGACTAACTTTGATCATAAATCTTTAGAGAGGTTTTTGTTGGATTCTAAACCTTCCCTTAGGTCATTGATAATTGATGGTACATCTTGTATTACTGATAGACATCTTGAACTTTTACTCGAATATCTTGGTCACTCATTAAGGACTTTGAAAATTAAAATTAATAGTGAACAGCAGAATATGATTCGACAAAGAAACAATGTAATCGAGCATTTAGATAACTATGTTGAACCTAATATTAATAGTGATATTTGTCCAGTCTGGGCATAAACAACATTTGAATATATTAGAGATCAGGATATGTAACATGAGTATGTTAAACGTTCAATTGTGGTTTGTGCTTATTCTTTCAAAACTGTCTTCTATATTGCAATAAAACATCTCTTACCATATAGTAATCAAATCTTTGAGAAATGTGGTTGATTAGAGTAAAGGTGATATTGGGGGAACGGAAGCATCGATTGAATCGATGATCCGTGTTCTGGATTATTAGTAAGGTGTCCATACATGATTGAAAATTTACTTATAGAGAGTGCTTATTCACGATGGGTGCTTATTCTCCGGTAAGTATTCTGAATAAACGTCAAAGTTTTTGGTTTCTGTTAGGAGTGACTTGTTACTTATAGCAACAACCAGAATGTTATTTAATATATTATCACATAAATATATATATATGCTCTGTTGAGATGTAAGTTCTTAGTTGGTGTAGGAGAAAAAAATACCCAGTCTTGTATCGCTCCCAAATCGTCATTAGAATGCCGTTTTTCTTGATTTAATTTGACTATGTAATCGTCACAATTGATTTAATACGTTAAATTCTGTTCAAAGTTTGAAATGATGAAACGAGCAAGTGGATTATATCGCTTTTCAGTATTGCATGTTGGTTAGCAAATTCTCTGAAAAGGTATCAGAGCGATTGATTGAAGTAATTACATGTTTGTAATAATAACAAGTCTTCAAGTCCGAGAACAAAAAAAGTTTGGCATTTCAGTTACGTCTGTCTTAGTTGATAGCACATTGAATAATTAGTAAAACGAGATATAATTGGAAATTTAGCATAACTAAAAACCATAGAATACGAAGAGATATGCCAAATATTTGTCATCAATCAAATTCTGACTTTTGGCGTTTTCACGTAATAGTCAGTAATTTGTAAATATCAAATGAAGGCTAATTCTTGTATTTAGCTCATAACTACAAGTTGATAGAAAGGTTACCAATCAAGTTGGATCCACTTTAACATAATAAAAGTAATTATCAAATAAGCCTTTTTATTTATAGACAAATTGACTAATTTAAACGATCAACGGATACTTGTACACGATAGTCATATCTACATTTTATTTTATTTTATTTTGAGCACTTGGCGTCTTGGAATCTATTCATCTATATTTAGATTGGTACCTGAAACAATACCTGAATGATTGTTACGTATTGCCCCTGAGAGTTACTTTCACTTCTCCTTAATATGTAATCCACCTTCTAAAGTATCTAGCCGCCTGTAAAAGAGGGCTGCTGTTTGATAGTCTTGTGGGCGTTCAACCCATACGATTTTTCGCTTACACTTTGTTGTTGGCTGTATGTGCAGACCAGATTGTTGTCTAAAACTATCGCTTTAGAGCTAGAAACTAACAAGTGACAAATCCATTCGTGACACTAAAGACTTATCATTATTATATTGCTTGTGTTCATTGCATGCTTGCACAGCTCTGTAAACAGCGTGCAATCTGTATTCTTATTACAATTAAATTTCCATTCAAATTACTCATCGTAATAGAATCGCCCGAAAATACAGTGACATAATGTGTGGTCTAAATGATTTTATAGAGATACTAACACAATGCAAGCGATAAGAAACTCCATCCCACAGCGCTTGCAAGGTTTTAGACTCTTTTTTTACTATGCATCGATTGTGGTTGTCAAACAGTGAGAGTTTTGATTCAGCACATTCTATTCATTTATTAGGTATGTCTGATTGTTCACATATTGACGGCCCAACGCCATTGTATACTGATACTATTAGGATTAAGAAAATCACTGTGCCGCTTAAAAGAAGGGACCGATGATCAACCATTGTTATCTCGAAGCCGCAGGTACTACGTAAGAATCAGAATAATAGAAATAAAGCCTGACAATCGGATCGTTTGAACAATCGGGTATTGAACAGTAGTTATACAATCATGATTATTAATTACTGATATTAGCAATGATAAACGGTTGATAATAACTTTAACGAGGTGAGCTGATGCGTCTTTTGCACGCAGCATAACGATTGATCCAAACATGCATAAAGGGCGCAGATTCTTTGCGATTTCTGATACTGCCCCACATGCATTTAACGAAGTTACGGTTAGTCGAATTAATTTTAGAATAATCGAACAATTATTGACCGTCATTCTTACGCCAATATTAAATAAACGACTAATAGAATACCGACTGATTGCCACCATCGATTAAGATAGCTTCAGTCTATTCATTGTTCTATCTTCATTTGTTACATTCTCCTAAATAGCAAACCGTGCTATACTCAATCATAAAGTGCGCTTTATATCGTATTCATGCGTTCCCGTCGATTTCTTCAACCCTTTACAGCTTGCTTTATGAAATTGTCGATCATTAATCAGCCAATACACATTTGCTTTGTTGTGGTTAGTTTCACTTACACCGTAGAGGACAATCGTGTGATACAATACAAGGCTTTGCATTGCGTACCCACACTTGTATATCAAGAGGGTGTTGATTGACACCAATCGGATTCTTTGAATAATTGTGAATGTATTCTCTATTATTAGTAAGATCGACTGTAGCCCAATAGACAGTGTTGCATGATCTCGGATAAGAAAGAAATAGCCACAACAAAGACGCAATAACTTCTACACCTTCCGTTTTTCACATTATCCCTATTTTCGCTCTCAATATGGCTGTATCTCTACCTCCAGAACTTCTTACCATGATTTTAAACGAGCTCACAGACGATACTGCAGCTCTTCATTCTTGTATTCTAATAAACCGAAATTGGTATAGAGCATCTATACAATATCTTTGGGCTAAACCTTTTACTTTGCTGTATACTTGTTTGAAGTCAGAGAACTCTAGATACAGGACAGAAGCACTTAAATCAATATCTAGACAAAGAGCAGAAAACCTTATGAAAACTTTCATCAAATGTTTTACTAATGTAGATGATATCAAGGAAGAGTTGGAAATCTTGGAAAAAAAGTTCAAAAAAGAAGCCTCATTTGACTATAGTCAATATTTAAGAGAAATTCACTTTAATGAAGTGTGGAAACTTGTTGTATGTTGGCTTAACTTGGATTTATCATATGGTAGATATTCATGTGATACAAAAGACAACATGAATAGAACTGAAAGACTGACAGTGAGGATTATTAGCTTTGCAATCCAATACTGTCAACAGCTAAGAATTCTCTCTCTTACACCATGGAATGTCTTATCTTACCAACAGCTGAGTCGATTTATTGTTCCCACAAAAAAGTTACTACAATTGAGAAGTTTTACCTGGGAATCAAAGAGATCTCACAGAAGGGTCTTTGGAGCACTGTCAAGAGTGGCACATAATCTAGAATCTTTGTCAGTTGACTTTTACTACAGAAAATATCACCTTAAAAAAAAGTCAAGAGATAGTTTTCAAAGACTTGTCCAGATTCAACATCAACTAAAGTCAATTACAATAAAAAATCTGTATACAGATATGGGATCAATAATGGAATTACTGAGATTACAATCAGCTTCTCTTAAATCTATCAAATTTGCTTGTGTCAACTTTAATTCAACTTGTTCAGGTTCTGAGGCAGCAAAGCTAAACAAATTGGAGAATCTTGAATTACTTTCATGCACTATAAAGACAACACATGGGATTAAGCCATTTATTATGGCAGATTTACCATGTTTACAACAACTCACTGTTAAGAGCACACCTATATCAGATGAAATATGGGAACTCATTTTGCATAAACATGGAAGGACACTTACTGATATGGGCATTGAAAAGCAAGAACTGTCTGACAATGTTTTAAGGGTTATGTCACAAACTTGTAACAGTCTGACACGTTTATCTATTGATGTGTACAAAGAATCAACTATTTCTCTTGCATTTATGGTGGCAAATTTACCAAATTTGCATTCTTTATTAGTAAGATATTCATCACCTTTGAGAGAAAGTTATTCTGATGGGCTTTTCAATGCTTTCTCTAAGCATTCAATCCCACATTTATATGACTTAGAATTATGCAATACAGGAAACTTTGAGGTAGACTCTTTGGAGAATTTTCTATCAAAATCAAGACCTTCTCTTAGATCATTGATAATTGATGATTCTTCTGAGATTACTGAAGCACATTTTAATGTGATTCTTTACCATCTCAGTGGCACACTAAAAACATTAAGGGTTAAACATGACATTGGATTGGTCAGTAGGGGTTGTATTCATAAATTGAAGAGTATAATTGATAATTTTGTCAAAGATGGTGAATATATTAGTGATATAAGTATGTTTGATAACATTTATGTATGCCCTCGTTCTACAGACTTTGTTGATTTTAGTGAATTTATTACATATGATGATGATAATATCATTACACTTGATGTCTCTACCCCTCCTATGAATATGAATGTTGATGTTATTTCTAATAATAACTTTGATGAATACATTGCACATGATGCCTATGTTAGTATGTTTGATTATCCTGACATTTTTGGAGAATACACTGCATATAATGACTATACCAGTTGATAAAATATTTTAATTGTATTTTAATATACAGATATAGTTGAAAACAAATAACTTTGATGTATAAGTATAACAGTATTGATTCTGTGTGAAATTTACAATAAAACTTTTTGAATTTATATTGGCATCTTAGCTGAACAATGTGGTTGTTGTGATACTAGTAATAACGTTTTTTCTTCATTGGCCTTGTTGCTCTGTTGATTATCAAATATGGGGCTGACAAATATGTATTAATATGTACAGTGTGAAATAAAAATAACGCAACATCTTTAACTCTTGCTCGAATAGTTTCGCCCGTTGTACCGAATAGAGATTGTCTTCAGCAAACGTATCGCTTCGTTGTAATTTACGTAAGCCTTCCTAGCAAACGTCTCGCTCCGTTATATCAGATAAAGCTGAATCTTCTTAGCGAATACGTTGCTCCGTTGTATAAACATGATCTGTTTAACGAGTAATATCTGTTTTTACGAATAAACTTTAAAACGGTTTTATTCTTCGTTTACTATCATTACGAGAGCTTTTAAATAACTTGTAAATTGCATTTATTATCCTTTTGTTCGAACAAATCAGTTTCAATATAGATCGCTTGCACAAAGTTTTATGACAAAAGTCTAACGATGTTTCGTTTTGCATTAAATCAATATATCGATGAAATCATGTTATTTACGGTTGAATTTCGTTTTATCGGTAATTAGATTTTTATTTGAGAACAAGAGTTAGAAACTCATTTAATTGAACCAAAACGTTTTGAACCTTACGGCTCTGAACCAAACGGCTGAATATTTTCAGCTGTGAGGAAAGGTCGGTTTTATAACTAATTAACTAATTTCTAAGTAATAAATCGACTTAGCGTAATACAAAATGATCGACATGAAATCTACTAATAAATCGAACACAGTGATGATGATCATTTTTGAGAAATCAATTAGCTTCTTTTCAATCGGGTAGTGTTTTTAAGATACCGAAAGGATGAACGGATACAATTTGTCAACAAATTTATGAGTAAATTGATAGGAAACTTTATTGAATTAGCATTCTCATCAGTGGCACTAGCTGGCCTAAAAATAATACAGTCAGACCTCTCTAAATGCACGTTGTCGGGACCATAGTGAAAAAAATCCAACAGTGTGCATTTAGAGAGAGTGTGCATTTACAGAGAGCAAAATATATAATGTTCTTATAAGCTGGGACTGAACCATACCGTGCATTTATGGAGAGTTTATATAGTGTGTGCATTTAGAGAGGTTGCATTTAGAGAGGTCTGACTGTATATGAATTACAAATCTCAAACGGATAATAGATTCTTATTTGCTTTACTGTTACTTGGTTTGACAGGTATTACTTACTGATTAATGAAAAATAAGTTAGACAAAAGGAACAAGAGTTAAACGGGATTTTTTAAACTGGTAATTGTATTAAAAGGTATTTTAATGTTAATGTTTTGCAGTCGTTTGTTATAAATTTTATGCCTAGTAGTTAGAATTAGGTCTCATACTCATTGAATAACAAGTGCTTTATGATTATAAGATATACGTGTTTCTGCTGATACGGTGAAATAGTTTCTGAAGTAATATAATGTGATAAAATTTGGTGCTTGTCTTTGTTTTAAGAATTTCAGTTTATTACAAATGATGATGCGAAAATTAATTACAACCTCGGAATGTTTCATTGAATTTTATTGACTTTTTAATCTAAGAAAGAATTTACATAATTCATGCTTAATGATATTCATACTTTCTACCTTTTTATTTGCTGGGGTTTGTGAAGATTTCCAAATAATCCTCCTTTCTCACCAGCTTGTTCCGGATTCTTTCTTTTCCGATTTCTGTGTGTACATGAATGTGCAAGCGAAACACTATTTGTGTGGTACAATAAGATTCTAAATATTATCAATTGTAGTAAATATAAGCATATAGTACCTGCAAATCCGTGAAAAGTACCGTTATTGCTTTGACTAAAGTACACCCCCGAGCAAAGTACCCTTCAGCAATTTTGAGGCCTGATTTTGTAAAGACCCGGGTGCTATTTCGAAAAAATCAACATTATTGCGTAAAATACCCTGATATTATAAACGGATAATCTCATATAAAACTATTCATTTTTATTTATTTGTAATATACTGAATGTGCTAGAAAATATTTTAGGAGAGTGTGAATTGTTAAAGGTAATAAGAACTTATCAGCCTACCACATATTTGCTTCTCGCGAACACACCAAGAACGACATACCTTATTACTGAATCGCGCTCTGCGAATAGTGCTGTTGACTCTTGTCATAGTTATCTGATGTAACAAATTTTTTGATAGGGGTACTTTACACAAATATACATATACCCTCCTCCCATCAAAGTACCTCCCTGATGAAGTACCCCAGGTATTATACAAAAATAGTAAAATAGCTGGGGTATTTTAGTCAAAGCAATACAGTACATAAAAACTTTCGAGTATTTTAGGGTGTTGGGCATCTTTGAATGAGAAATACCACCAAGCTGTAGTATATTCGTCACTTTACAGTCCATCCCATATATATTATGAACCCATCCTTAGCAAAAAACAAGAAAAATTGTTAGTTGATGCAATTTCATTACTACAATGCTTAATTACCCATGAGTGTATTCCAAAGACAAATGTTAATGTGGAATGAATGTCAGAGTTAGGTGCTTTAGAATTCTCTTTAAAAAACATATATAAGATATCCCACATTGCCACACTCAGATCAACTGTCTTCATAAAATTTTTTTGATGAGGCTCCAGGAGTCCATCACTTCTGAGACCTATGAGAGCCTCAAGCTTGTTGATACTCTTTTTCAAAGTTCCTCAAAAATCACACTTTTGTCCAATGCAAGCTCTGAGACCAACAGAATGACCTTCATTTTGGCAGCAAGCTGATGCCCAACAGACAATTTCCCCACTATAAAATTATGTAATAATAAGATGGAATTAGATTACATGAAATCAGACTGTTAATATTGCTTATTATTATCTATACTTACACATTCATCTTTAGCTCCTTACTATTTAATATTAAGAATATTTTAGCAAGCATGTTAGGAAATGCATTGTCAAAGTCAGCCTCAGAAACAGGAAGATCAATTCTTTCCACATCAGAACTTATGCCTACTGCATCTGCATGCTCATTTAATTACAACAGACTATAGTTCTAATATATATGACAGCATCTTCTTGTCCAATCTATTAAATTGTAGTAGAGTCAGCTCAGCATGATTTTCAGCACTATTACTATATGCATAAGAATTGACCATAAAAAAACAAAATAAAGTTTTTGATAATTATATTTTGCTTCACTCACTATGTGACAACAGCCCATCTCAAAATGGAAATAACTTTTTTCTTCTTCATCACTAAGCTCTACTTTTCAATCATTCCAATAATTTCTGGGGTTAATCTATCAATCATGTTGAGGATATCCTTATTATTATTACTATCATCTTTTTTTGTGATTGAGTCAGCAACATTTTTTAAAGTGTTGAAATAAAACAAATATTTTCTTTTAACTTACTTTTTCAACTTCATCAAAAAATGCTCTACATTAAGAAAATCTGATTCAATCAATTTAACTTCATTATCAAAACTTTCACCCATTTCTTCCCAATCATTCATCAAGAAAAGAGTTATTCTCAGTCAAATCAAGTATATTCCAATATGCAAGGCTATAAGTAAAAAAAATTCATAATTAAAAAAACAAAACAAAACATCACTAACATTCATATTATCTATCAATAAACTTTGAGCCTCAGGAATCATCTCGATGTAACTTGCCAATTTATCTCCTATGTTTGTACCACTACCGAGGACCCACAGACATTGACAGGTTGATGACATTGGCTTGAATTCTTCCATATTAATATGTTTCGTCTGATTATTGAATCTGTGGATATAGATAGTGCATTTCCGAATACTGATGTCGTCCGAGTGTCCTGTCGAGGAGCAAAGGAGAACAAGAGAAGTTGTTCCTTTGTTTATTAGCCACCGCAACAAAATAAACTTCCAATAACGATCGGATCCTGCCCATAAATTAGTGTCGGATCAACTGGCCTCGTTGCTACGTACGCAACGTTTCTATCGATACTGGGATCAGAAAACTCGATGTATAGGTGAAGATTCAACTTTGTCACGTGAAGGCTTCAAAATAGGAAAATATCGTGATTCTTGCACTTTATTGGTTGAGGGTCAATGTCTTTAATCATGAATTCGTGTTTACAATAAATTATCATAATTCGCGTCTATTAATTAAAATAGACCTAATTTTCCTCTCCGGCTACCATAATTTTAACTTCTAGGCGGGAGCATTCTTTGAAAGTCATTCTTTGATGACGTAATGACAGCAGCTGCTGAGTTAATCGAACTGACTGCTTCTACACATGCGTCATGTTGAGAAGACGATAAAAAGAAGAGTAAAAGCATCTTTTTCCCCTTTACCTATCGAAATACAATAATAGCATGAAGATATTCTGTCATAATGCAGCTACATCAGAGATTATCACTGTCTTAAAACTGTATAGGTATGGTAATTCATCAAATCAATAGTCTTTGGAGATATAGTACGCTTAGGAGGTTTGGAGGTTATGTAATGGCATTGAGGTTCTGAAAAGGAATCTACTGCTGCTAAACAGCGCGGCAAATTGAATCAAGCAACTCTAATGAGTTCAAAGTCTGTTCAATAATTAATTTTCAAAAAACACAAGGTTTGCGGGGTCTACAGGCAATGATCGTTGTAGTCAAAAAGGTACAATCCCATTAAAAAGATTAAACGATGAGTCCAGGCATTAGCCAGTTCAAACCAATTAATTGATTAGTTAAATATTATACACAATCTATTCAATAAGGATCCGTGATCAAATAATACTTATCCTCGTTCACATGTATCAATTACTATCATCACTCTGCCTGTTACTGCCACTTGAGTTCTCTCCATTCTCACTGAATTCGATCTCAACCATCTCCCTGATTCTATCAAGATAACATTGCTGCTCATCAGGTGAGAGAAACAAATGTGCCGTCAGTGATTCTATGAACTTGTCAAGTCGTAGAGTGCTTTCCTTGGCGCGATATACATCCCACATATTCACTCGACTAATTGACATAATATAGCTTAGTATCATAAAAAGGCCCAACAATGGCGCTATATAAAACTGGTAAGACTACTCACTTGGCGCTATCCTGAAAATCTCTCACTATCTCAACGAGTTGTGCAAACACTTCGTCCGATAAAGTGTCATTACGAATGGTGTCGGCATCGCAGGTATATGGCAATCCTACCAGAAAGCTGTGATCAGATAACGGTTTACCCGTTAGATGTGGCCAACACGAACTTACTGTGAGAGCCCAGAGGCTCGAGATCCGGTCCAACAAAAATAAATTGGAATTGAGAAACATTTGACGGTTTCAGTTTGTCATATGGCGTTATTATTATACCAATGAACGGTTCCACGCCATCCTCATGACGAAATAGTTCCTACAGTTGATTAAAACAATGGGTTAACCTCATGCTACATTATATCTCCAAGATCAAGTCTGGTTGTTTTTTTCCATACCTGATACTGAGCTTGATTTTCTATATCTCGCAATGACGGCTGTGGGTCAAAGGTAGGATGCGAGTGATACCATCCAACAACGTCGAATCCACGTGCAGCAAAGGCTTCATTTGCATGCATCTCAGAAACTGGATCCATTTCGCACTATGTTAACATGTAATCGTCAATATCATAAGTAAATTTGAATAATTCGTTCAACGACTTTTCATCGCAGTGAAAACTACCTCAATACCAGTACTTGTGCCTTGACAGGGAAAGGCCATAAAAATTTTCAATACGCGTCGTTTGTCATCATATTTCCCCCCGAGCAGACCAATTATCTCATTATAAGTCATGTGTGCATGAAAATCCATCACAAGCTATTACAAAGCAAGGCCCAAAAATTAGTTGCTTCTCCGTAGCGGTTGTGATCGTGCGCAAAACTAATACCTTGGCATTGGATACTATTTCAATTTGGAATGGTGGAGGATTGAACGCGTCATAAGTATTCGGTGAAATCAGCCTGAATGGGTCTTGAGGATCATCATCAGTGTGTGAAACCAATTAAGGAACGTGTGTAAGAGGAGACATAATGAGAAGTAAGTACATTGTATTATTATTCTTTTTTTTTTTAAAAAAAAAAAAAAAGGAAAAGGATATTTGTTCAGACGCTCTCCGTTTCCGTCGAAGTTTTCCCTTTCGGCGACCTGTTTTGTCTTTAAAAATGTTCGATTGAATCGCATTGGTGACAAATGCCATGTATACGACGCACGGATATGATCTTTACCATCAGTGTCAGCCATTGGAGAGTCTCTTGAAAATATATCCTCATCTCTATTAAAAAAAACCTATTAACTTCCGTCTGATCTGGCACGTAGTGAACCAAAAGGCTACCTAGCCTTAACTACCTCTCATCTATTATACTCCTTCGACGCTTTCTTATCATGCTGGATTCGAAAGACATGCGAACTAAATTCCGACACCCCCGCCTTCAATCCGCCTTGAGGCATGTTAATACATACTCTTCGAAGTCATCGTCATTCAGTTTTTCTCTGTCCTCACAATCACTAGGCTTTCTTTTTAACTGACTTCTTGTCCTCACTGCAGTAGCAATTGAACAATCTTTGTTGATGGCTCCGATCTTCTCGAGGTAAGCATGTACTCGACCAATTGTGTTCATGTCCCCATAGTGCTATTGAATGGTTATTACTTTAGGTACACATGTAGTGTAATAGGTCTACCCAATATGAGCATATGTAAGCAGTTACGTAGCATTAAAAAATATACCTTCAAAGCAGGACGAACGCTTGTTTTGCTGACGTAATTTGGTTGTCGCTTAACCCAGGTGTCAAGTATATAGTTTCTTATGCACATGTAATTCTCAGGTGTCCTTGAAGCTTTACCAACAAAAAACTCTTTATTAGCTTCCTTTTCTTCTTCAGTTATGATACTCCTATCAATCGTCTGTTTGTTTGGAACATGTACGTTAGTCCGATTGACTACTATTTGAAGGTTGAGGAATTACACATAGCGTAACGAGGAGGCACGTCGTTTGAAAGCAGGAAGCAAACCAAATGGTTGCTTCTCACGACGGTCTTCTCACCTTGCCGGCAAGCATACTCTCATTAGCAGCCAATGTAAACGTATTTATATGTTCCGAAGAATAGTCTGTTACTTCGTCTTGGGACCGTTTGGTTGCAGAGTGTTCTAATAGTTCGGCTGTGGTGATAGTATTTATATGGTCTTCCATAGTTGACGCCATTAATGTGTGTCAAAAGTTACTGATTTGCCGGTTTGCTATGTGTACGGACCTCTTTTAAATTATCGTGAATGATGATCGAAACTCCGGCAGCAGAACCTTGTTATTCTGTCCGTGTAACACGAACTATCCCTGTTCATTGGTTCCTTTCTGACCATATTGAGGAAATGGGGCGCGTTGCAAAAAGTTTAATACAGCAGATAGAGAACCGGGAGAATGTACATGATCGAATTGTTATAAATCAGTATGAGAATTGATTGGTGTTATTATTATTATTATTATTAGCAGCATCGGGTGATACTGATAGTTTGCTACGAATTTACTTACTTTAATTCTATTAAAAGATCTTTCGTTTGTACTAGTTTTATTCGATTAATTACATATATTAGTTATTGTTTTAATTTATAAAAAAGATAACAGGACTGTGCTTTGGCTGTTTCCGATTATCCTGAGTGATTGAGCTCATCTGATATTTAAAGCAATAGAAATATGAGAATATAAAAAGTACATCAAAGAAGAAACATATTGTAACTGCTATGGAGAAAGAGGGATTATTAATATGCAGTAAAATAACATTTCGAAATACCAAATAATTAATTAGGCATTTGCATAATTCAGTCAAAAACTTTATTTTTTTCACCACAACTCACGACATACTGTATTGCTGGTTGTGCTTATTTTCATATTTTATCGATCGACATTTGTTTCTGTGAACACACAGCATTATAGCTTGCTTAAATGCGAATAATAATAACAATCCAGATTGCGGTAAGTAACGTTGTTCATGGTGCTTTTATTGCCTGGTCTGAAACACATTCTGTCGAACGCATATCCAAGACGGTTTTTGAAAAAATAAAACATGCTTATAAATGCCCAATTGTATCGAGAAATGCAATTCCCATAATCTGATCTTACACCATTGTTTGTTTGTTTGTTTGTTTGTTTATTCATTCCCTTCGCTTGCATTGTGGCACGTCAGAAACTTATGAGATCACTGCGTTCAGACAATCGCACATATTTTATAGCTACATCAGTATACTTTTTGTGATTAAGTTATATCTGTGATTATTATTATCTCCGTGAAGTTGAAGATCAACATGAAGAGTCATTATGGACAAACACAAATTTAAGAATCTACAATTCCCCCGGACATTAGGGTCTGTCAGAAAGCTGACTGTCAGTATGGTTTTTTGATACCGTCGATTGTAATCCTGGCAAATTTACAAACAGCCTTCAGAACAACAACAAAATTGTATGGTGGCTTTATTATATATAAGTGAGTTTTAAGCTATTAAAATCAGTAATCAACCGACATCTAAAAACCTCAATGAAAATGCGAACAGCATGCTATCTGTAAATTATTAATCAGGCTTATTATTATCGAGCACTAAAGTCGGCAACTACGCGAAGAAAAAGTACCACACCTTGACTTTGAAAGAGCTTTACGCCGCCGGTTTCAAAGAAAGAAAATAATGGCAAGCAAACCACATATTTACTGGAAAATAGACTAAATGACGCTTTACAAGGTCGTTTAGCATTCATATCCAATTTCAAGATCGTGAGAATTTTTCATGTACAACGTAGCATATGTGCACTTCGATACTTAATTCACGTGACGTATAAATTGCTTGCCGATCAATTTGCCATTTTTTTCGACGATCAAACTCTTTCTGCAAACTTACTATTAAATCTCCCTCTTCCTGCCATGTCCTCCTTCCCACCAGCAGATCAAACCTCCAACACATCCTTTTATTCCCAGTCAGACACAGTGAACGTCTCCGATATCCTCGGCAACGTTGATTTTGGAAGTGCTCAAATAAGGGAGCTAGCTGGACTGGGAACTGGGAAGTTGGGAGAAATAGAGTTCGTACAAGTCGATGACGTGCCCATGACAGCCGGACCTATTGCGAGTAGAGGAGTGCTGGATGATCTATGCTATGGAACCGGAACGACTTATTTGGCCGGTATGTGTGTAGAATCAATGAAGTAGGAAGAGAAAGTATCAATGAGATCTCGTGATTGAAGAATTAAATGGTAAAGTTTTTGCGTATTTATTGGTATGACACGGGACATAGGGTTATCTTTTGGAGGTCTGTGGGGTTTAGTAGAAGGTACCCGTGGACCAAATTCGAATTTCAAATTACGAATAAACACAGTACTAAATTCAGTAACGAGACGAGGACCCTCTATTGGCAATTCATGCGGAATATTAGGTTCGTATATTATTCACGTCTCAAGTTCTCCCCATCGAATTACGCACTGCGGTGCTGTTTAATATGCTCACTATTAATACTCACTGTCTCCTGGTTTTTTAGCAATGGGGTATAATGGCATTAATGGTGTGATTACTACAATAAGAGGTCGTCACGATGCTGTGAATAACATAGCAGCTGGGGCTTTAGTCGGAGCGATATTCAAATCAACTGGTAAGACCCATAATTTGTTGCTGTTCCTCTTTGTTTGCTATAGAATCATTCTCATTTAAATTTCCATTTAGCCGGAATAAGAGCAATGTCGGTTGCGTCCGTTGTTTGTGCGAGTGCAGCTGCGGCCTGGACTTATACGTTTCGACATTTACAATAATCTGTACATCCCATAACATAATTTAGTCAGTAAATAAAGTAGATTAATGGAAGCCACTTATCAAAATAAAAAGATAATATTGGAACTTGTTCACAACTCCTATGCATTTACTATTATAGACAGTATCACCTGGGTAAAGTTTTCCATTTCCAACTATTTTTTTTTTTTTTGAAGAAACCCTTTTTCTTCGCGATGCACAACGATTTATTGGATTGAACTGTTGCACTAGGTGAACGCTGTGATTTGGATACGTTGGCCAGAATGCAAAAGATTAGACAAGCAGCTTGATTTAATCAAACAAAAATGATTTTTGAGTTTAGAGACACAGGTTTCTAAATACTTGTAGCATCGCTCAATAAAAGATAAATAATTATGCTTATGCTTATTTTCATTATAATTTTATTTACAACTGTAATTCTGCATAAAGTCAAACTGATTAACCAGATCCGGTGGGAGCTCAGGGAAACCATTTTCATCAAACTTCATATCAGGTGCAAATTCATACAGGATGTCTTCTGGCGGATGACCCAGCTTCTGCATCTATAAAGCACAAGAGATAACAATTAATGCAAGCCCAATTGTACAAATAAAGCAGCAAAAGTTATAGCGCTTCTGTAATCAGTCTTACTTCTTCCATGAGACCAACTATGGCCTGCTTCTGTTCTTCATCATCTGCCCTCGGTTCCGGCGCCTCAAAATGCGCAACAATCTTCTGAACGCACCCATATTGCTTCTCGTATCTCTCGTAATCTTCCCTGGAAACTTTCTCTTTGTTATCTTTAAGCCATTGCGGGTACTTAAAAGAATAACAATCATATAAAGTGTCATGGGATTCATGGATGAAATCTTGATTAATCAGTTGGAGAATTTAGAGCGAGTTTATATGGGAAGGAGAAGAAAGTGTTTATAGAACAACAAATAACATAGTAACAAAAGGGGTATCGCACGACGTATGCGTTGATCGGGAGGTAGCCAAATGTGAAAATAAACGAAAATAATTGATACGAGTACCTTCATACCGAGTTCCTTCATCGGTTCGTAGAGGAGGTCTTTAGTCGTTAGTTTATCCATCATATTCTCGACCAAATTTGTAAAATCACCGCTTTCAGCAATGTTGTCCAATGCCTTCACAAAGTCTGATAACAAGTCTTCGTTGTCTGTCATTTCAGTCTTGGTTATGAAATTAGCATGATTGAGCTAATTTGCAATGATAAAAAACTGCATGACACCATACCCCATACCATTCTTGTTACATTCTCCTCTCCACTCTCACCCAAATCCAAATGAACAGTTGCTTGTTAACGTACATCAAGCTGATCAGAGCTGTTCTTCAACATATTCATTGTCTGATTTATGTGATCCTGAAACGACCCTCCTTTTGTTCCACCCGTTTCTCCACTCTGGCTCTCATTTGCAGTACTAGCATTAGCAGAATCGTCTATATTGGCGTCATCAAAAGCCTTTAATAGTGCATGAAAGGTATCCTCAAATGATTTATCATTGAATAGTTCTTCGACTTCTCTCTCCAAGTCTTCTTCTGTAGGAGATTTCTGAGTGCTATCTTTGTTTGACGAGGCATGGCCACCTTCTGATTGTGCTGGTGGCTCTTGTGTAAAATCATCTAGAATATCTGTAATAGTGTATAACGGATAAGTTCAGATTATCAAACCAAGACAAGGCAGGGTAAAGAGATAAAAGATCAAACCATCGAGAAGGTCGTCAAAGTCGTCGTCTTCTTCAACTACTGTCGGCTTTTTGTCGTTCGAAGACATTTATAAAACCGTATCGAAAGCGTACTTAAGTAAGAGATAAATAATAAAATCTATAAACGTGAGGTCGCGAGTGAGTGGAGAAATACGGGTATTAGTATTGAAAAAGTGAGAATTACGCCCTCAATTTACCTGATAACACGTGCTAGTCGTGAATAGAGTCAGTCACATGAATACATAATATAGCTTAAATAATCCAAGGACGTATTTATGAAGGCGACAAGAGTTCATCTCGAAGTTAAATGTGGACGCATTATACAACCGATTCATCAAATCATGCAAATACACTTAGCATCTATCCTATCCACTAGGTCCCGGCAAAGCGGACAACGACTAGCAAATACATTCCTAATACTGATCAAGATTTATTAATTTAACCTTCAACAGTGAAAGTTGCTGGCTTATTTCTACAAGCGTTTACCATTCTACCTCTTGGCCGTTCATTGATAGAACTAAACGTGATCACCATCAAGAAATAGAACCATTCAGAGCTTTACGTTCTGTCTAATGTTGATATTTCTGTCGTAAGGATCACATGGGCTACGTGTCCCTCAGCGAATAATACTCGAACGCTCTTGAGTCCGCAATACAAATGCATGAATTGTATTGGTGGGTTGAGTCAACTTGTATAAATATATTTATTATTTACTATAGCGCTGGTATTACCCAAACTCTTAGCTGAGGTAATTAATGGCTTACTCATGTGCTGTTTACTCGACCTTACTACAAGGCTTTTTATTGCTATAATCTGTCAATTAGGTAGGAGTTTCCTCTGATTTGATCATTGAGTGTAGACATAAAATAGTTTTCATTATATAATAACTATCGGACGAGGAAGAATTTCAACTAAAATCACTAGTCTCAGACCCGACTGATTTAGAATCAGATTAATCAATGCGAATATTTGGACTGAGCTTTTTTACTAATATTTTTGCAGTATTCCGGACATTTCTCCGATAGTTGCGTTAGACTTACCGTAACATGGTTTCAGTGATGAATGAACAACAGGAAATATCAAAGATATTAATCTGGAATGAATACCTAGTTCAGGAATTTGATATCAAGATACAATAGCGACGGTGTCACAAATGGATTACCATATTCTTTGGAAAATAAGCAACACTTTTTTGTTATAGTGTTGCTTATTTTCGGGTAGTTTAATAAACGAAAGAAATTACCACTGACTTTGTCATTGGCGAGGATGATATCATTGACATCATTGATGAGACTCATATCACGGATTAATCATTTCCGACAATTTTCTTTATTATTATTGTAATAATAAAATAATCAATTGGATACATTTATAAAGGTAAATTATTTATTCTAAAGTGTTGCTTATTTTCGGGTGTTGCTTATTTTCCAAAGAATACGGTATTAATTGCTCCGAGTTTCCCCAACTACGTTAGAATTATGAAAATATAGTTCTTCCAAGTTGCGACAGTTGCGCAGGACACGCTTCTGCAATTTATTCACAACATTCTATGTAAATGTCAAACAAATAACACGTAAATGACGCGAAAATAACACGAAAATAACTATTACACTGCCTAACGTCCATCGCATTACAAATAACACGTAAATAATTGCATGCAGTCTTTTACTATTACAAGATTGAGATATACTAAGTTTTGATATGCGTTAGCAATCTTAACCAATACTCTATTACTAAATCACAGCCCGGACATTCTTGGATAACAACACTTTATCTGGAAAAAGATATTTAGTAAATATAAAATATTGTTTTCGCAATATATGGTTTTTTTAGGTGTGTTTTTGCCGTACGGCCAGGTAGGTAACTTCAGTAATATTATATGTTAAATATGAGAGAAACCTACCACTTCGACGAGATATCCGAAAACCAATTGATTTAGATTTTATGTGCTTATTATTATTCCCTGTGGTACCACAAAATGACAACGCAATCGCGTACTTGAATGACAAACGAATGACAATACAAAAAGAATTCGAAGTACAACCAGCGTTGTGTGGTACGGGTAGTTAAATTTTTAATAGAATATTAGAAGTAGCTGAGGCGCCACGCTCCGTCGAGACTAGTTAAATCCCAAGTGTCAATTACTTTCTGCTCTCCCGCAGTAGTCGGCACGACAGTGTCCTAAGATCGTAAATCGAAGACAGACTTGTTCTCCGGCACGCTTCCCGGCTAAAAGTTTAGCCAGGTTACCATTCGACCATGACGACGTAATATGAAGGCATTGTTATTCATTTCTCGGAGAAATATTTGTATAAGCCATGGAATTCGTAAAATTTTATTTCACGATACCTCGCGCTTTGAATCGATTTTTGTTCTTGAACGTGAAGTTGTCGTCATTTGATTAGTGCGCGCCGATGGGATGAGACTCTAAAGGGGCTCATGCGCTCAGCGATTGACAAATGATGACGTGACGTGATCCTGTCGTCACTCGAATGACGACGTAAATGAGACAATCCTGTAATACAACCTTTGATAAAAGTCATGGTGTGTGCTATTTGTAATGCTGATTACTTTACCGAGAAAAAATTATATTAATATTTATACAGAATGTTCTGACCCAAATCGCGATCTGACCTGATTCGAATCAAATAAGCTCAGAGTGATATTTATCCGATAAATTATGCACAACGGTTGGACAGATGTCGTTTGTGAGAGTGGTAAAACATCCTTTATTTCAGAAAACGGACGAAATTTAATATAACGTTTCTTACATGAACACTTTTTATTGAACAGTTTGACTGACGACCACATGTGTTTGACTCTTCATTGTTAGACGTCTCGCCGCTTCAGTCAGTGAGACAGTCCTTTTTGGTATGTCTTCCAATTCATGAAGTCTGCTCAATCTCTCTTACAATCTCCCAACACTTACATGGGCACTGGGATCGTCGACTTGTGCAAATGCTACATGCATGAACAAATGCAGCAACTACCTTCTCGGAGTGTATTGAAGTTGGCATGTTGTAATTGTCATGTATAGCACAGATTATATAATACGTATTCTCTTTAACACAACGGGGTTTTTTTTACATTTCTTAGTAACTTTGCCAATATGCATCACAGTGAATGTATGCTGTATCCATTGTTTGAATTGCATATTTGAACCATCAAGAATTGGTTCCAATTTTGATATGGCGATTAGGTGACAGGTAAGCCTCTACCAGTTTATCAATTAGCACGAAAGATAAAGGTAAATCATACGATCGATATGTGATGAATCGATAGAAACTTCTCATTCATGAAGTAATATATTGAAACATATATGTTCTTAAAACACTAACAATAAATTTATCGATGGACATTTATTGGTAATTACTAAAGAACACTGCTGATATTTCTGAATTGACAAAAAAAGAATGAAAGGACCTTCTTCCAATTCTAAAAAAGTTGAAACTTATTGTATGATCAATTGCTATTAGATCGTCTGACTACACATGCCAGCTAATATTGGTAAATCAATGACCGAAACGTTATAACTTGTATAAATACAGCACCACCAATAAGATTAACGCATACTGATTGAACACACGAGAGCTGTGAGTATTTAATCCCAGTTTTAGATTTGGCAAGTAGAAGTAGCCAACCTTGTTTTTGAAAGAGCAAGTTGATTACTATCCGTTCTCTAGTCATACAAGTAAATCAAATTTGATTTGTTGTTGATTTACTATAGCTTATAACGATTTAATAACTGTATCGAAGTTCACTGTTAATTACGCACAAAGAAGATTTAAAAAAAAAAAATCCAATTTGGGGTTGTGCCAAAAAGTATTGCACCATGTGCTTTTCATTTATTATTATTTTAAATTGCAATAAAAATTAGTCTAATGCTCATTAAAATTGCATGTATCTATCGCTTTTAGTTAATTAAAAAATCATAGCTTAATTTCTTTGTCACGAGTGGTGCAATATTTATGAAAGCCTGTGCAGGCTCATTAGCCTTCTTATTGTGCTGCTTCAGAAAAGTTTCAATCTCTCGTGCAGAAGACAGTGACTGTATCTTCAAAACCAAGTCATTCACCAATGGTTTTTTTTGATGCAACAGGCACTCATTTTGTGCACTTATGCCTGGGACAGCTGAAATATTACTTTCTTGTCTGTGAACAGACATTTTGTCTAATTCAAGAGAAGTTTGATGTTGTAGAATGTCATGAATGGAGACACTAGTTCCATTGGGTGTGTTGACTGGTACATATGAGAGTGTGTTGCAATTTGCACCAATGTCATTGCGAAGAACATTGTCAAAATTTATGCTTGATAAAAATGCTACATTCTGCAAAATAGACAAAAGATTTTGATTAAATTGAAATATAAATAACACGCCAAACTAACAATATAAACATACCAGAGGTAAGTCCTCAATTCCCAGCATGTAGCTAAAGAACGCCCTTGTCCACAAATGACTCACTTGTAAAGCTAATGCTGCTCTATAACTGTCTTCTTCTTTAACAAGATACTTTAATTCATCCTGTGACAGTAGCATAAATCTTGCTTTGATATCAAATGTATCTATCAGGTATTTCATAGCAACCAGCATTAAATGAATATAATCAACAGTTGATGACTGGATTAACCAGTTTAGACGCAACGACAAATGCTCTTTTTTCAGGCATGCCTGATTCAATGCTTCTGTAAGGCAGGAGCCTAAAAATGGTGTACATGGCTTGGAGGATCTGTTTATGCTATTGAGTGTATTGATTGTATAACTCTCGCTTCCACCAACAAACAGACTGGTACTCTTTGGTGTTGATCGTAATTTGGTGGATGATTGGCTTTTTGGTTGGCTTGACCACTGAACATTCACCTGGGCATTTGCAGCGTTCCACTTTAAACCAGTCGTACATTTAATAAATTTCTTTGCTAGTGATTTAGCTTCTTCTTCACTAATATTTTTATTATATTTCTTAATCATCTGCGTAAGAAAATTCTCATCACTTCCAAGTGTTCTTGCATTATTGATAACTTCTGCTTGTCTATCAGATACCTTCATGATATTGGCAGCTCGTGTATGCAGATTCGAGGTAACCGATGTGCCTCCTTGTAATAACATCCAACTCATAGCCGAAGCTCCATGTATACCAAACTGAGCGTCTCCCAAAAGACCATAAATCCATAATTCCAGAGATGATAGTCTAGTGCCTATAATTTTGTACCCATCCGGCGGTTGAATTAGAGCTTTTAATTCTGACCCAATGCGTTCTTTGTGTAGCTCATTGGCCGACATCCACAGATGCTCCCTCGGTCTACGAGTGATTGTCGCCAGTGGTTTAACCATTGGAAGTATCATTCCAGACTTCACTCCGTTACTTTTCGTATTGTAGACTATTACCGTTGACTTTATTCTATCTTCGTTCATCTTCCAGTAGGAACACGAAGCATAAGCTCGGAGAATTGATTTAGCTGTAGTTGAGTCAGATGAAAGTGTTCCTGATTCGATTTCAGGTAGAAAATAGCGAGAAAGCGGTGATGGACATTTTAAGCTATCACTACCGTCATAAGAAATAGGATAATATCTTCCAGTCGTGTCCTTGCCATATTTTGGCTCGTAAGATGGTGACAGCGATGAAGCTGGCCAAGTGCAGGGCGGAACTAGTTCTTTGAATTTTGAATCATTAATAGGAACTCGATAAGTCCATCCGAAAGTATTTGTATGATAAACGGGATATCCTTTCCATTTGAGACGGAGGAGTATAGGTGCTATCCTTGACCTGGTAGTGATTTTCATAGACTGACGGTACCAGCGAGGAAGAAACGAAGATTTCTTTGAAGAAGATGACGATGATGATAACGTTGACGATGGTGACGAGGCAAATGATAAAGAGGAAGAAGACGTGGACGGCGCTGCTGTCGACCAATCTAATTGCTGCAACCATGGATCGTTCATTGCATGGGATGGATCAACTTTCACAGCTTCGTCTGCTAACTGCTGGAACATTCTTTCTATAGTGTCCATTTGTTCCTTGTATATAATGTCCGCATTGTTTATGTATTTATTCCAATCACTGTTCGTTGTCAAAAATGCATCTGATATGTGCATCATGCCCACAAACGACGCTGGATGCGGGCATTTAACCAGATGCTTCGGCAATAATTTCTGAAATACCTTATAAGTCACTGTTACGTCCTTAGCACAATAAGACATAAGCTCCTGAAAGGTCTTCTCGACTATTAGATCATCCAAACTCCCCTCAACAAATACGTTACGTGGTAATTTATCTAGTTTGTCAGAAAAATAACATGAATATACTTCACGAAGACTGCTAACAAGGCTAAGATCGTATAGCGCATGAAATTCCTTTGATTGGTTGGTATCATATGTTTCCCACAGCTTGTCTGTCTTTAGCCATGACGGGCATGTTTTACATAATCCAGTCACTGCAATATGTAGAGCAGCCGTATCCAGAAAGTGAAGATTGGGAGATGTTAGAGAATACATCTCTTTAACTCTTGCTCTATCATATCCAACACAATGTCCAACTATTATTCTCTGTTGATCGCTTTCACCAAGCGGAATTAAATGCTCGGTAAGAGAGGGTGAGCAGCCACGCGATGGATATAGTGATTCATTCGAAGTTTTATATTCCAAGTATTCTATAAGCCGAGGTGAGACCCATGAATACCATGCAGTTGAAGATGCAGCGCATGCGATCACAGGAAAATTACTGTCTCTAACCATTGTTTCGACGTCAAAACATAGACTTTCTTCATCTGGATATTCAACTGGTTCGTTTTTATCATTATAGTATTTTGTCCAACCCGCTCTAAATTGCCATTGACCGCGATTTGGAGCTTCAGGTATGTTAGACTTGGAAAATTCTCGAGCAAGGCTAATCGGTTCTGCTTGTTGATTTGCTATGTTGTAAAAGTGGTGGGCAATTGATGCACCAACAATTTTGGGCAGCTTGAATTGAGGGATCGGAGCAGGCGTATTGTCATTCTTGATCAATATATTGTTCTTCAAGAGATGATCAGATGCTATTCTAAGGCAATTTTGAGATGGGGACGGACGGTTGTGGAATAATTGTTCATGAAGCCAACGTGGAAGCGTTTCTATGCCAAAGTGGTTGAATTCTCCTGAAAATTGTACATTAATTTGGTGATTGAGAACAAAATAATATAAAATTTGCATATCATACATGCGTCTTGCATATTCACGACTAGAAACTCACTCTCATACGGTGCTGTCTTAATCTCGTTCACGACGCCATTTACTTGTTTGGTTTTCGGTGTATCATTTATGGACGTACTCACGTATGTACGGAATGTGGCGTTGTTTGAAAGCGCAAACCAATAATTACATGGAAACACCCTCTTCCAGCCTTTATTAAACGTGTGCGTCAGCATAACGAGAGCCTGATAATTATAAATCCATTCCTGTCTCCGCGTGAAATATTGGCTCGGACTGCTTAGTCGCGACAAGTTGTGCCAAATATGAATCATGTGATTATATAGTCATGTGATCAAAGGTAAATTTGCTGATTTATATTAATATGTTGTATACAATCTGCGTCACAATATAATTCCCGGAATTATATATAGTGAAAAGTGAACATTTGACGTCACTCGATTATCAGGCTTAAAGAATTTATTTTCGTTCTCGCTTTGCCCGTAACCTTTTATTTAATTATTCGATATCCACCATATAAAACAATGGCAGTAAACAAGTCAAAAGTATAACCCGCTATTTTTTGCTTCCGTAAAGACCATCACGTGGGGCTAGATTTGTGACTGCTGAATTTAATTTTTTTTTAATTGTTTATACGTTTCTGACGCGTTTCCTCTTTTATCTCCGTATTTACTAACTCTATCTTATCCCCAGTCTTCTCTAAACCTCCGTTACGTGCTTTTCGAGCAAGTCAATCGCAATTCCCAAGCATTGTATGTACATGGCATAGCACTGTTCTTCCGTCTTCCATCTTCCCCAAAAAATCAAGAGGGTGTATTTATGGCGTTTTTCACTCTTTATGCTTACTTTTTGGTCTGCATTCATTGACTCAAGCATCAAAATGCCACCGAAAACTGCTGGTAATTTATCACCCTTCCCTTGAGGAGCTGTACTGCACCACACCTTTCACTGAAGTGAAGATTTATAACCCCTGCTGCTAATCATTCTGTTTTTCTTTTTTCTCTTCGACTTTAGAACTTCTGCTGAAGTACTCGAATAACTGCTGTGGGAAAGCTGAAAGATCTGTCATGTTTGCAGGCTGTTTAGAAGGTGTGGAGGCACAACACTTGGATGAATGGTTGAGGACTTTGACACCAGTCTCATTTCTTTACAAAAACTTGCATTTTTTAAAAATGTCTCAATGACATTGTGCTGATAACCATGTGACATTTACAATCAGAAAATATTGCAAACATCTCGTCATGATGTCACCAACAAATTGCCAGATTGTTCAACTTTGTAAAATTTCCATGCATCCCTGAAATCTTGTGGGCACATCTTCACAATACACTAAAAATTAGAATCCTCATGGCAATCTCATTATGTGATACCTGTTAGATAGTGGTGATCTTATTCTGATGTCACAGAGAGATTTATAAAAACTACAGATTCTGTAAAGTTGTGTGTATTGTCAAGAAACCTTCTAAGGGGTGAGAGCTTTTTTCATTCATGTGTGATTACCATGACCCTCACCAACACCAACAGTATTATGTTTTTCAAGGTTTGGACATCTTCACTTCACAACATCCAAAGAAGCTGCATCATTTTATTATCAAATGAAAGACAATCCAAAGGATGGGCCTTTCAGTCATGTTAGATTTGTTGCCACCAAGTATTTTTCCACAGGAATTACTGTCAGCTATTACTATAAGAAGGCAAGCTTCTCTTTCTGTTTATTGTCATTGGGACCAGTTTCATAGGGTAATCATTTGTTCATATTTATTACATGTAGGATGGAGTTGTAAGTGACAAGAATGAGCATAAAGAAGATGAAGAGAAAAAAAGGAAACTCAACATGCTAGATGAGAAAAAGGAGAAATCACAGCAAGATGTGCTGGGCCAGAGAAACCTGTCATAGTCATACAACTTTTATGATACAGAGTTTGTAAATTTTGATTGTTATATATGTATATTGCAGCCGAAATAGCGATCTAATTTTAGTATTGTCACACTAGAGTTCAAATGTAGTAATTTTCGTTACGGAAAATGGTGGCAGTACAAGATACAAACAATAGCTAAATTTAGTAATTTTCGTTACGTTTTTCGGTGGCAGTACAGAACCAAACTAGCAATTTTCGTTACGGTTTTTGGTGGCAAGCCTTATATAAGTAGGGCTTCCCTCATCATCAAACCCTCATGTTGTTTGGTTCCTTACGTTGTTTGAATAATATTGATCTATTAAATCCACGGATTTGAACATATCCAAGGAAATAAATTTTGTTACGAATTCCTTTTGATACTTAATCATATACTATCCATATTTTATTATCTTTCTATTATCAGCGTTGAATATTGATACTTGAATCCGGATTGGAGTCTGTTACAGACCATTTGCAGATACTTCGGTTAGCGATATATCCGTTGAAGCAAGATACACCTTTTAAGAGTGCACGCAAGTCAATATTAATATTCGACATCGATTCTCTCATTTATCGTTTAATTAGTGATAAAGTTAATTAGAAGTGACGAGATACCCGACTAGTCAAAACACTAAATCGAAGACCGCCCTGTTTTGAATTAAATATAAATTATTCCCCTTCGATTATGTGGCAATATTGTAGTTGTAACGGTATTGTCATAGGTACCCCTTACTTAGAAACGAGCATAGGTTATACTTTGTCTAGGGAGTTAGTTAAGCGCGCACATTTAAATATAGTCACTTATAAATTTGATTCAGTCGTAAAGACAATCGCAGGGTAGCGATCTGAGTTAAATTTGGTAACATCCCCTGTCGGTGAACTAATCGGTGAACACACCTACGCGACAGATCATTGGCTCTCACACCCAAAGAATACACCGACCGCAACAATATTCATCCATTGTTAGAGATGAATTTAAAGATATTACTTGCCCCAAATCAATATATACTAATACTGACAATGAATAAAATATTCAACATTTATTACTTAATATTAATTAATAATAAGGAAGAATTTACTCAGCACGGCATGATGCCCACTTGTGAACTGTTACGTCCTTCGCTCGTCGGCCTTTCACAATTCTAGGTTCCGTTATCTTATACACGTCTTGCCGTAGAATTGCGTTCATGCGCGCAATTACAATTTCATAACAATCAAAAAGTCTTTTATATCCTTCAGATTTTAATTCGGCACTGTCTGCGAACAATTCATGTGATGAAGAGTCAGACGACATAAACGCAGTAGTTAAGTCTCCTATAAGTTTTTGTAACGCATCCTGGTACGACTTTAATCGCTTTTCTTTACTAATGTGAACAGTATCTCCGACGTATTCCGAAAATAACATGGTTAGACGGTCTCGTTCTGATTGGGCTGCCGATATTTGTAACTTTAACTCGTCGGCTGTCATTGGTTTACCGCCTATATTCTGCTTGATAAACATCACGCCAAATCGTGTCGAATGCAAAGTAATTTCCAGTACTAGTTAAGTTAACCGAGGCAACGTATCTTAGAAGTGTACGAAGTTGTGGTTGGTTTGCAAGATAGATAATGCAGTAAGATTTTCGTATTACATATCGAAAATTGCCTTTTCGTATGCCAATCTTGTGTCCGAGCCAGTAAGAACTCCATTTGAAATAATAATACCATACTTTAATTACATGTTGTTTGTATGTTCAAGATCTGAAAGTGCCAATCCAAGACTTTGTGCGTACGTTGTCAATGCACAAGCAACAGAAACATAGATTAATTTTAAGACACGACAAGTGGCGGGTAATCAACCACTTTCTCTAGTTTTTCAATATATCTGACTCCAAGACTTGCGGCTAACTTGAAAATGCCGTAACCAGAAAATATTGTGATTAAAACCAAACACATACTTTTTGACGTATGCCATTAACCGAGCATTAGTCTACATTATAAATGTTCTTCTTCGAACGGAATTAAACGACGAAAGATTGCTTCATCACACACAATATCGAGATAACCACTGTTCTCCGTATCGACGTTGTCAAAATACATTTTACATGCTTTATGCGCGTTTGCATTGCAGTTTGGATTTTATCCCGGTTTCAGAATTACAACGTTGGGTGGTGGAACGTTACAGCCATCAACTACAGTTTTTTAATAGCGTCTAAAACTGTTTCTTGGCACCAGGTATTTGGATCTTTTCGAAAAAATTCATCGATAATTTTTGCATATGTGAGCAGTAATCCTTTGGCGTAGTATGTCTCTCCGAACAGTATCGTTTTTCGGTTATCGTTATTATTACTTTCGTTTTCATTTACGATACTTTGTATTGATTCTCTTAAATCGAACTGAAATTGTAGCGTGAACGCTACGTCTAGCAGCATCATAAATATTTCCATATGCAAAAGTTTTTTCGACCAAATCAATATTGTCTACAACGCAAACGTTCCATATCGTTTCTTTTTTTATGATTCTATTCTCCGGTTTCGTGTCTCTAACTCTGCCGTTCTAACGCTTTCTCATGATGCAAGCTGTGAGGAATGACGTGAGCGGTCCAGAGTATCGCGTACAGCGTAGAAATTAATTTTGGCTTGGTACACAAACTTCCTAATACTCGTGTCATCCATATGCCGGTAGATGGACAACAGAAATATAACAATCTTTTTTGTTTTTGTATCGTTATATGGAAGCTCCTTTAAACCTTTGCTTGTTCGGCGTAGATTATTTATGTGGTTTTTCTTTCTTAATACGACAGCAATGAGTGATGTAAAAAATTTTAACAAAGCCGGTGGGAAACTCAAGTCCTTTTTTGTTCTGTTTTATCCATTCTCTAGATTTCCATAATTCGCTACCTAAATTCTCGCCAGCCACTGATGCAACTTCCGGTGTAAGTCTATTATCCTCAAGTTTATTGGCGTCTAGAGAAATCAGTTTTAAAAAAATCTTTAAATGGGACTTATTAATGGGGTAACGTGTTCCTTTTCTTCAGTAAATGTCGCTAGCGAAGATGACAGTCATGTCAAAAGCTTATTTTGGTTCTCAATATCATTCGACTTAGCAGTGTTCATTATCCACTGCCCAAAAATCTGAAGCGTATTAGAAATATCATCACTATGCTTATCGTAACATGAAAAAGTGTGCCCAGAGCCGAGACGTTCGTACAAGTGTCCACCATTTTGCATAAAACAATGACTACAAATAACCGCGTGCATCGATCATTAATATTAGTTGACGTATCATTATCGAAAAATGATTTGGGCATTCCTTCCATCTTAAAACGCCGGACACACTTTAAAGCCTGAGCAAGAGCTTGTATCATCTTATTGGTAACACGGATAGCATGTTTCAACACAATTGTGAAGAATGATTTATACTTGTTACAAAAAAGCATCAGTTTACATGTACCCAACTTTTGTCTATATTAATATGCCTGTCTTTCTTACTCGTATTGTGAAGTTTCTTAGCATCATGGGCAAAATGAGATGAACATATGCCAAGGACTGTTCCTCCATACAGGATTTTTGAAACACTGCTTTATCTATTTCCCAGGTACCTAGCAATTGTGCTAAAGATTGCTGGTGTTTCCTGATGCTTACCACATGTTCTAATCTCTCCATTTACTATATCCATAAGGATGCAAGCAGCCAACATATCTTCAGTGCAGCAATCAGATGCTAACAAAATGCTATCAGCATCAGAAATTTCCGTTATAAATGATGCCTTGGTAGAATGAATTGAGGAGATACTAATATTATCTAGGTTAGCATCATCAAAAGCCATATCATTATTTTTTATATTTTCAGCATATGCCTTTGCTATTGCTAAACTTTTTTTGTCAAGAGAGAATATTTAAATTATCATCCTCTAGCTTGTAACTAATGCTCTCTTTGCCTTCCAACTTCTGAAACTGCAAATATGTTCCCACCAACAAAATACACAACATAGACATTGAGATGACATACATAATGCAGATCACTTGAGCAAGTTGGTCACAGCCACCCTTGGATGCTTTAACAAATTCAAATCTTGCCTTGTCCATCAACTCCTGTTGTTGTGGGCCAGAATTTTCAGCCATTCCAAGTTCCAGTCCACACACATCATCTGGGCTGATAGAATAGCTCTAGAAAAAGTCAATTTGAGTAAAGTGCAGGAGAAAAATGAAAAAGAATTGCTTATGATCAGCCAGTCAAAATGGTCACCTGTGCCACTATCAATTGCTTGCTGATATCTTGAGGCCTATGACTCTCCCTTGTCACTGATTTTAAAGCAATCTAATTTGAATAATTATAATAGCAAAATGAAGATTCATAAAGCACTGACAACATACTCTACACTCACAAATGCACTTCTGTCAATAAATTGTCAAAAAAAGGTTTGAGGAAGTGAATGTCCACATCCCGTTCTGTGAGGTTTGTGTCTTGAAAGCCAGTCTGAAGGATTCAAACACTGGAGTAAAAATGACAATTAATCAAGGCTGAATAGAAGAAAGTAAAACTTGGAAATGTGCACATACTATTTAGCTGCTTCACCACAGCTGCCTGTTCTGATGCCAAGTCCTTTTTCATTCCTTCTTTGCCTATTAGCTCTGCCAATGTGACTGACTGTGTAACTTCACACTCTCCAGACTCAACCACTTGAGCAAGATACAAAAGAACACCAGTTGTTCCAGTTGTCTGTATATGGCTTGAAGCTTCAACAAGCTTGTTACTTGGGAGCTGCCAATTATTATCATGTTAAAAACTGGTTTACTGCCATAATGTAATTTCATAATTATAATATCACTCAATATCAAACCTGTTCCAGGATATCCAAAAGCTTCTCAATATTAATATGATCTGGTAGTTTGATAGGATGCATGAATGCCCTCACCACTTTGAGATGGAGACCAGAGATCAATAATCCAATAATACTAATACATGGGACTTATTATTATGCAAACCTTAAAGTTAAATGAGAAGATACTAAAAGTTATCAAACTAACAATATTGATATTTCATATACCTGTAGTGGCCATTTGGCATTTTTGACACTGTTGTGATGGCATTAATAATATTGTTGAATATGGGCTCTGCATTCCCCTCTGGCTGCACATTCCCTTCAATCTTGATAAATATAAAGTCACTAAACTTTATCAACCATTAGTTTGGAAGTTCTGAAATTTACCTGGACATCCTCATCAGGGTCCTAAAAAATTGGTACAAATTGTTAAAGCCATTGTTAATCATAATTACTGACATCAAAAAAGCAATTACATCCAATTACAATTGGCTTACTTCATTTGTTGTATCCAGAATATCAGAGACCATCCTGTCAGGCTTGTGTTTGCATTTAGTATTAGGGGAGGGAGAGGAATCAGTGTACTGTGTCTATTTCCTGCTTGCGTTTCTGGGCATTAATATCCAAAGTGGATAAACAGAGTCTCTTAGTACTAATACTAATGAATATGCATAAAAAAGGCTCGATATAATGCTGCTGGCAGAGAAAAGGAGGCGTGAGGCTCTAGGAGGCAATCCACCACCAGGATGAACCACATCAAAGAGGGTATTCCCCGTAATCTTTACCAAACATCAGCCGCAGGGGTTGCTAAGCATTGACACTTAGCTCGGCCATACACGGGTGTAGGCAGCATTACATCCAGTATACTAGACACAAGCCGAAAGGCATAGGCCATACAAGCAATCCATCGTATAAGATGAACGACATTGTACAGGGTAGCCTCTGTGCTTGGTCCAAACAACAGCCGCAGGGGTCGCTAAGCATTGACACTTAGCTCGGCCATACACGGGTGCCGGATACTGTGGGTCGCCAAATTTCACAAATTCTGATAATATATACAGACCTAGTCGAAAATCTGGAAGAAATAGGATTAAAAAATGTCAAAGTGAATTGGATTTGAAGACAAATGTTGACAAAACAATAGAACGATAAGACGTACCGCAGTGTTCAGAGAGCATACGGCAACCGTAGGTAATTAAAGATCTAATACTCACAGAGCTGTGTGCTAATGAATAAAAGGCCAGTGTAGGGATATTTTGTTCGTTTTTGTGCAGTAGCTCTGTCTGGTGGATTGTCGGTATGATGACCAGGAAATCGAACGCGTCGCAAGTGTTTTTATTACGCACCATTGATCCTGATACGTCATGCCCCAAAATCAATTTTTCATGTGACCCCGTTGTTATTCCGCAGTATTATTGGTCTGAACAATTTTGATTAATCCCCCAATTCCCAAATTAAAATGGTTTACGCGCTCTCTTAACACATACTACGAAGAATACATATGCAGACATAACATCCTGAAGAACATCCGACTCAAGAAACAGAGTAGAACTAAAGTAATAAGGCAATTAATGCAGGCCTTGTTACACTCCAACGTGTGGAGGGAGCAATAGACTTTATTGGGTGGATTACTTCAGGAAAAGTAATTATAATATTAACAAATTTATTACATATCTAATCGTTCAGCCATGACAAGAACTTTGAACACACTCCGCACTCGATAGGCGCTCTAATAAACTGCCATAAAAAATTTCGCATTTGACTAGATACTTCACAATCTAGTTTTCCAGTCAAGGTGATCCTTCAGCGATACTGAAAGGCGGACGAAAGATATTCGAGCAATATCAGAAAATATTGCATTCAGCTTGGATCTCTTATTTCCATTTCCATTGCTATATCTCCAAAACCGACCCTCCGTGATTATGACCATCGCGCACGAGCGCTGATGTCGTGGAGATGATGCGTAACATAGATGATCATGCGACGTCGATAGTAAATGCAGATTGCAACTGATACTAGGCCGTCAGTGCTTCGGCACATTGATGCGGATTTGGAAAAGGTGATGGCTGGTACATTTTGTTGGTTGACGTGATATTGTTACGGTGAAAAAAGCCTGTCACGTTAACACTTTCATGCAATAATAACAGGGTGTTATTTAACCGAGACAAGCATCTCGGAAGGATATTATTAATAATGGTACTTGAAAGGGTGCTGATAACGACAATAAGGACAATAACGACGATGCAAAGAGCAAATTTGTTCTGCATAATTTAGGAATATAATATTTACTTTATGCTCCCTGTGATGGTATGGCAGTACGTTGCTGCTACCACCAATTACGATCCTACAGCGGCCACATCCTCAGAATCTTTATTACCGCCTTGAATAACGATTTCTGATTTCACGCTAAGAGTCGCTATTACGATCAACCGACAATGTATACCAAACAAAAACGTCATAATCGATCTCAAACAATTTTTTTAATTTCTCACCGGATGAATATCGTGGGGGAAGTTAAATACTGTTGCCGAGGAGCTAATATACGAATTACAATGTCCCAACGGGGAAAGACTAATTCAATGGGCATTGAATATGCGTTGCAGCTTTTGGTCGTTATTGCATATAGAATTTAGCCTCGTGTAAAATAAATCCCCTTTGGAATTGTATACGTTGATATATCATATTATATCTGATTATGAATCAAGTGATATATTAAATTAATTTAGTCGAGAAAAACACCGATCCGAGAATTCAGTCATCAACTGAAAGGCGTTACACCACGCACATACGCAATATAAAACGTGGAAGTAAACGAAAGGTAGTTGTATAGTATGTCTAGTGAAATTTGTCTTATCGCGGCTTTCTCTGATGCTCATTTATTGCCAGGCAATTGGTTCATGTGATGACAAGGAAAATTTGTTGAGCCAACCAAAGAGAAAAAGGGGGTACGAAGCCCGTCTCTCGCTGGAGACTTTGTTTTTAGAGCAAGGATCAAATTGGAAGCCATCATCATTTGTCGAAGAATCGCTTAGTAAGAATATCCGCGTCGACGATGATGTTGAACATAATAAACACGCGGTTGAATAATAGAAAATCTAAAGAGAAAAATATTGCAGTAGCACGTAATAGTATTTGATTGTTTGCGCAGCATCGCTGTCTTTTTCCTAATAAAATACGACTCAATCACATATAAATAGCCAATAAAACTGGGGATAATCAATAATATTGCGGAATAATAATGGGTCGCACGAAAAATTGATTTTGGGTATGACCCCAGCAAAACGAGGTGTTCTGTGTATCAAGGATCAATGGTTTTGCGTAAGCGATCAATAATAAATAATAATTAATAAACACCAAAAAACAATTGCGAGCTTGCAAGGGGCCCCTAGTACTAGACCTGCCTTGAAAGGCGATAACTGTCCATATTCATTGGGCTTGCACAACTATTAATTTTTGCAATCGCCCTACCCATGATCTCTCCTTTCATTTTCTACCCAAGGTGCTATCAATTTTAAGGTTTTGGGCTTGGGATTTATTTTACGTTTGTAAAAATTCTCCACTACAATGCTGCCCTTCCCAAGGCTTCGATCTCGCTCTTAACCTTGCAATATATTGCGGACAGGCTAATGTCGTCGAGTCTTCTCTTCACATCCATGAGCTGTTTAAACTTGTTCCAGAGTCTTAGAAGTCTCTCTTGTATGATTTGGTTGGTTTTGGAGAGCAACCTTTGCCGTTTGGTTTGAATCAGTTGAATTTATCTTGTATTTCGAAGAGGCTCTTTTCAATAACATTGAGTTTGTCAAACATTATGTTGTGTGTAGCAGCTTGTTGGTGGTTCTGAATATACATGTACGAAAAGAAGCATGTGATAGTCAAAAATTGCATGTGAGCTGCTCTTGGTTGTGAGCACCCAAACAAAGAAAGTAAAAATTGCACAACAGCTTTTGCAATTTGTAGAGAAATGTCTGCAAATGGAAATCTATTAGCATTATTTGCTGCAGGCTGTTGTCAGAAATCAAAATGATGAACCATCTTTATTGAATAAAAGCTTTTAGATAGTACAAATGTTTTGGAAAAACGATGTGCAGTTAGTTGCTTTGTATACTTTGAAAGTACATTGATGTAAATGTTTTTGTTTTGGTGAGTACAAATTCATGCTAGTTGCATTCACTGAGAACATAGCAATAAATCTAAAATTTAGTCTAGGATTTGTTCCTGAGCCACAGCTATAAATCAAGCAAAGACTCACCTAAATTTCATCAGCTAAATTAGTTAATTTTCCGGCCACTTTTAGATCATGTAATCAAATGTTCACTTGTCTGGTTTAAAACAACAAAAGGATGCTAATACTAATAGCCACTTAAAATTTGTTAATGGTTTAGAGAGTTTATCAATTACAATGGCTACACCAATGCTCACTGAAGCTTACAAAGAAAACAAGTACAGTGGGCAAGACATCCTGATGAGAATTGGAATAAAACGGCGTTTCAACTATTATCATACAAAAACACATTGAAAATGTGCCAAAAGATCAAAAACTTTTTTCTTGCTTGGGGGGTTTGCATGAAGGGAAGAAGCAAACTTTTATGTTGAATTTCAGCTAAACATATTCCTGAAATTAATGGATTTTTGGTAAAAGGAGGAAGTTCCAGCAGAACAATGGCTCCAAGTATACAAGTAGAGTTGCTAAAGAAAAATATTTCACAAATTATAGATCAGCCATCTAACAGTTCTGATTTAACCCAATAGAAAATCTCAGTGCATTGTTAAAATATTGTTGAGAGAAGGATGCCAAAAAATTGTGAGAAGTCAATATTAAAACAATTTATGAAAGAGGAATGGCAGAATATTCCAGAAGCAACTCTTATTAATTTAGTAGACTCAATGAAATGAAGATGTGAATTAACAGTGCATATCTGTTAATTATTATTCAATAAAATCTATGGGGTTTAAACATTTATTCAAACCAGCATTGACACACTAGTTATTAAATAATACTGATGTTTTTTCTTTTTCTTTGTTACATACTGTATATGAAATTTTATAGTATAAGTACATCACTGAATCTCTTGCCATGCTTGTTTTGATTTTGTCATCAAATAAAGAATTGCACACATTAGTAATAATGGAGCAGTCCATACCTTTTGGGAGGTTAGTATATATTCTTATCTGGAAAGAATATGTTAGTTAGGGGGAAAGGCTATTCTGTTATCACTTGACTTCAAGGTTTTTAGAAGTGACCTAACATTGGAGATGATTAAAAGAGACATAATAAAAGCAGTAAGCCTTTATATCTGTTCTTGTTGCATTACTATTAAGAGTTGATGTCTAATTAGTGTAAGACTTTATTTATATTTGTCTAATGATTCAAGAGATCCAATTCACAATCTTTTCGTGCCACCAATCAAATCAAAAATTTACTTCGTACTCTGCCACATTCAAGCTGTTACACGGTTCTATTATTATTATTATGACTGACGATATCTTAAATGAGATATGATTACATAACACTGTGGCTGCATAATCAAATGCTTTCATGTAGTACGACAACGGTTAGAACAAGGATTAATTTCACTGTTACTCGAGAATCACTGGGGCGGGCCTGTCGGCTGATTCGTTCCATACGCATATTTTTTGCGTTATTTTTGATTGTAATACAGTTCCCCGCCACCAAGAATGAAGACTGTGTTTGTCGTTCATATAAGTTTCGGATTCCCGGATGACAATAGTTAATATTGTTGCAGAAATACAGATGTTGATGTTGTTGATAATGATTATGCGCAATATTCTCACATCTGTCGTTAAATAATGGGATGTGGAATCAAACTACAAATGTCAACTCTTTCAACTATTCCCTCTGTTCTGGCATATCAATTCAAGCACGCTTTCCCAAAGAGTTTTTTTTTGCCAAGAATGCTCTTCCCAGTTCCCAATTTCCGTTGGTAGCCAATCCCCATCTTTGTACCACATCCGCCACAGCCTAAAAAAAAAAAAAAGAACTGGTACTTCGGAAACTGGACTCCTTCATGTGAAAGGGGGCATTTTGGATAATATATATATATCCTGCGCACACTGAGGGTCTTTTTCCGTGGAGGAGTTGAAGAAAATTTGCAAATTGTTACGGACATTTGGCTCAAAGTTCGAGTTGACAACCATGTGCTATTACTATGCGCAACGCTTTCTTCATTATATACTGCAAATGTATTTCCATAATTTTGAAACCCTCCCTAACGGACAATGTCATCGGCATCAGAGCGAGCAACATAAATCTATTAAATACATGAAAATACAAATTTACAAATTAAAGACAATTTTAAAGTATAAAATTTTTTAATAAATTCAAGTTTGGAATATCTGAAAGTAAAATATGTAGTTTTATATTATAAATTACTGTCGCTATCACGCGGTAATATCTCACCATTGGCGGTAATGGCGGTATATAAAACGAGAATGTGCGCGACGAAGCAAGAAACTGCAAACGTCAACTCTTAATGTCGGAACAACACAACCTATTTATAAGGGGAAAGATACATTTGTAAATACGTTTATCACACGCAACGTGAAGAATTAACAGATGATTTATATACTAGGGTGGATACTTTTCTAAGAATTATATTTTTGTTTATTTGGGGGTTATACTTAAAGGAAGCTGTTAGCTCTCCACGTTGCGCGATATTAACATGAAAATGGATTACATGAACTGGATTTTTGTACAAATGTATCAGCATTCACAATGTGCAATATTCAAATGGACATTTTAGTAGTTTAGTGAACTTGAAATAATTTAACTGTTGAAAAGTAAACATGTTTATTTGATTACCAACAAGTTGTATTCTGCATAATAGTAACTTTATCACTCAATCCTAGAACAGCTTTATAGAAACTCACTTATCACACGAGTATAATAATCAATGTGTCTGCATTTAATACAATCAGACACAAAGTTTCCAGATGCAGGAACATATTTTTAATTACTCTTAGAATTGTATATTTAGACTTATGACATTATTGAACTGTGATCTGTTGCATAATAGTTGTAGTGTACTGTACACTGATTCACTTGTATCAACAATTTTCTGCAACACATGGTATGTTCCAAAGCAATAAATCAATCTTTTTCTAGTCCTTATTTTTTTTGAATTCTCTTCTAACTCAACTTGTGACTTGATGGTCCTCTGTTTCAAATTCTAGTAATAATAACCTCCTTTTTGACCTAAACATATAATTGGCCTAACGGTTTTCTGCCTGCCTTTTTTACCTTTCTTCTTATATTTCAAGTTCTTACGCCTTCCGTAAAAGTCTTTTATTCGCCAATAGTTTGTCCTTGTGAATGTACAAAAACGATAACGAACGCTATTAGCCAGTTAGACTAACGAGTTTAGCCCTTTAGCTCATCAGTGAAAACTAATACTAATACATCGTGTAACAAATTCACGTCGCGACGGCGGGATTATATGTGAAAATTTGCAGAAACCTCTGGACACGATCTTCCAAAAAATTGGCTAAACTCCAGAGACACGTTTACTTAGAATGTCGACGTAAAAGCTATCGATAAAATACTAGTTGTCTGGACCGAAGTCAATAACGCCACCTGACCGTTGGACCAAGAGAAAATAAACCAGATATGACGGTTAATATTGAAACGCTACATAATAAAAAGGGACATCACTTCAAAGCTTTTGCCACTGTTAAACAAGTCTTTTGATTTGACAAATTTATCGTGTACATTGTTTACAAGTTTGGAAATATTTCAGTAAAGTCGATTGGAGAATTTAATTTTAAGTTGGGAAGTTTATTATTATACATGAATTAAAGTTTGAACTATAATAGTGGACATTATAAATAATAACAAATATGTACTACAAAGTAAGCTGCATCAAACCATTGTAGCTTACGTAACTACATACAATAAATAAGCTACCTTATAGCGAACACTATATTATTGATTGTCGTTCTCATATACCGTATATCAGGTCATGTACCAGTGTTCAGTTTCTGGGATTGTCATTAATATCTATGATTTATAATATTAATATTTTAATGAAGAAAAACTAGCCCTATTTCTTCAACACTAAAGACATTCGTCTTTACTTCCGTGTCGGATGTGAGCAAAGTTCCAATAGACAGATTAAAACATTCTTAACATCAATTATTATTAATTGCGGAAAAAGTATTCCTAACGCGCTTCTATAGTCCAATATCGCAAAGTAGAACTAATCTCGCTTCTAGTTGCAGGCGTCAACTCTCCAAGTTAACGGCGAATACGTAAGATGAGAATGATATACTTCTCTTTTGTGTTAACTCGAAGCTAACATTCAGGGCTCTAATGTCATGAATCTAAACTTAGTATTAGAACATCATTGAATATAAGATCATCAACTTAAAAGTCTGAAAATTATAAGGAAATCATCATTTATTTCAAAATAAGATACATTTACCATTTTCGGTGTTGTTACATCGGTCGTGAGCATGGATCAATATCCAATTTATCAAAACCCAATTGACCTTTGATGGAAAAATGATGGGAGAAGGAAAATGCATATTATGTCTACTAAAAACCATCCACGCATAACATTATATTACATTAATTATTACCGAGAGAAATTTATCATGGATATTAATATTACTATTAGTGTTCGATATCAGAGTCGGAGAGATCTTGCGTGGGTTTAGCTTTTGTGCAATATTTGTACCTTGATAATGTGCGTTCGAAAGATGGAACATTGAAACCAATTGGACAGGTGAGCATTATAACACAATAGCGAGGGAAAACTACCAAAATCCACTTACAACTTATCAAATCTCACCGGCCGTATAATTGTGTCGCTATGATCCTCCGTTACTGCGCATAGTTGTTCGTGACTATAATTCAATAAAATGATTTTAATCGTTACTTGCTCCATACATTCTAATCAGCTAATCTCCTCACTATCACCCTTCCCATCTTAGCCTTGTCTCTGTTCTCTAAGACAATCAGGCCATCATACATACAGAGCCTCAAACGCACCATTTCGTCGGTCCCTCATTTCCTCACTTGCCCACACTTTGCCGTATATGCCTTCGTATCTATGTAGTATTAATACGGGGGAAGGAAGGAAAGAAGGACTAAGTGAGAGCCAGTATTAGGAAAAGGCAAGAAAGTAATATTAAAGGAGCTGTGAGAGCGTAAATAGATACGAAACCAACGTACAGTAAGTCGAACCTATCATTTCCTGTTGTAGGCCTTGTGTAGTTATAGCTACAACTGTTATCTGGTGCACATTCTCTGGGATAAGTATATAATAAACTACGTCTTTGTTGAGATCAAAACAACCTCACCTTCATTTATGTGCATTTGTACAGTTAGCTTGGTACTATTACTATTGTGTCTGTTTTCAAAATTATAGATTCGACGTGAAAAAACGATTACACAAGCTAGCCAATCATATAACAATACGCTAGCCAGCCAATTAAAATGAAGTGAATTTTTTATTATTATAATTCTCCCTTTGCTGGGGCGAGTATCTTGAATCTGAGGTTTAACTTCTGATTAAGCTTAATGATGGTAATACTCATAATCTCTTGACAAACTTCGTTCATCATTGGAACTCTCATCAAGGATATGGGGAATACGATTCACAAATTTTGGCGATAAAGGTAATTAATTCATTTCGCTTCTTGATCTGTATATATAGCAATCGGCTGCTACAGCGCTTCCTTCATGTTTATTTATTATTATTATAGATAAGCTAGACTTTACAAAGACTAGATTCGCTCAGCAAGCTATTTGAAAGACTATCTAACAGAATCGCTCATTGTTTTTAATTAATCATTGTACAAATTACCTGGTAGTTTGTGCTTCATTTTTCAGACAACAATTGCTGATTAAAGTTTTTTTAACTCATCACTCCTTTTCAAAAGCACTTCATGTGCTGCATCCTGGTAAGGATATCCGACATAATAGGAAACCCTTTTTCAAATGAGCTAGCTGTTATTTGAGAGAGTTCAATCTATTCTCTGATGCTTATGAATCTAAAAAGCAGTCATTCATTTAGTAAGTCGTTTGATAAAAAGCTCTTTAACAGTGATCTACTCGCATATAAAGAGTACTTCTTTAGAGTCGAGTCATACAGATAGTTCAGGGTAATACTTGGCCTTTTTTCTACCGCTGCACTAACAGACTTTTGTGATATTCGTTGGCAAGAGAATCGAATAGATAAAGCAAGTCTTTAGCTTCTAGTTTCCAGTTTCTAGTAACAAGAAGCATAAGTTTAACTCAATACTCACAAAAAGTGTGATAAGGCGTCATCAAATTCTCTAGTCAAGATTATCGAACGCCAATCAGATTTCGAGTACGATTGCAGATTATTCTAGAATCGATCTACAAAATTTCCGACTGAAGTAAACAAGTGAACGAGCAAACTTTTTCATATACCCAATCCGTGTTTTCACAATTTTTCGTATCGAGTCGTCTTTTGCGTAAAGTCTTTAAGTTATAATGCGTGTGATTGCTGAGCCACAAATTTTGTTGGTCAATTGATAAAGAAATGGTACGCGTCGGTGTTGTCATTTTCACAAACTTCATCTCTGCTTTTTAACCTCGACATTCGCGTCTGCGGCCAACATCGATATACCTTATTTACCCCCCAAAATCACCGACGCACAACGCGATTACCATATTTATCTTGCATCACGACGCGTCTCCGCACCAAAGTATTTTTTGTCTCGAAATCGAATGCTCGGTTGAAACTGTTTGAACTTGTCTATTAGTATTAATAGAAACCGCAAGATAGCAGCAAGAGAAAAAAAAAGTTCTAGTATTTTGAAAGCGGGAAGCGAAGAATAATGGAACGATTCTTACAAAGTCCTATACGAAGATATGATTCGCGACACAACCCAGAGCCTGCCACGCCAGGTCTAAGCTTGAATTTCCAAGAGGTATGAGCTACATTTGCGGGTAGTTAACGAAACATTAAGCTATATGCATTCGTACAGCATGTGTGGAACCGGAAGTCTTTCTTATCGATTACATGCTAACCACACTTTCTCATGCCATGCTCGTTTTCTATTTTCATCTCCAATAACGATAGATGCTTTTGCGATCTCCAAGTCCAAAAGCCCTAAGAAGCTCGATACGTAATCCACTCAAGCATTACATAAAATCCATAGACAACACCTCGTCACCACCACCGCCTTCCATCACCGCCAGTAGTTTTTATCCTCAAGCGAAACAGTCATGGCAGTGCGGCCTCTCAGACACAGAATCCAACTCTACTATTTCAGCCACCACTGCCAGTATCACCACCACACCTCCTCCTTCTAATTTTCTGCCTGATTCCGCATCTCCTACTCCCCCTGCACACCGTCGACCTTCACTTTCTTACAATAATGTATCACCTATAGCAGCGAGCTCAACACCATCCGAGTTACCAGAGCTGCTCGACGATTTCTCAGATATTTCATCCATAGCCGATGATCAAGAAAATATCCCGCCAGCACATTATTGTCAACCAAAGACGTTATTTGCGTCTCGTGCGGATCCGATTACAAAAAAGAGAATTGTATTTAGGGAGCTGGCCTTATCGGAATATTATGACGCTGACTTGGAAGGAGTGAGCTTTACTAAAGAGACGAAGGGAGAGAAGAAGGAATATTTGGTAGTTGAAAGAGTTGTAACTGATAAGGGGGTCATAGATAAAGAAGAGAGGATGGAAAGGGGAGGTAGGAAGGAAATAAGAGGGAAGAAAGAATCACCATTTATCCGGAAATTGCGTGAAGTAGCTAGTGGTGATACTAGTGATGATGAATGGCCAGACGTCACAAAGACGCCGATCAGAGTACCATCCGCTGGAACCAACAAGTCTACACCTGAGGCTGTTGAAAGTCCCTTTTGGCATTCAGTGGATGAGAACGATGAATTGACATTTGACAGTATTTTTTAACCAAACACAACAGTAATTATTGCTTAAGTTGTACATTGAAATCGGTTGTATTTTTTGCATATTTTAATTTTGATAATGATTTCGTTGAGTTTGCTTGATCTCGCACGGCAGAAATAAAATTATAATATATAATATTAAGTACAAATAATGATCTTTCGAATTCGACATGTGCCTCAGATCCAGGAAACTCCCTTATTATTATGATGGACGGTGGATCTTCGGAAAGTGCTGATTTTATTAATATGATATTATCCACTAACTTATTAATTACCTTACTACATCGCTCTCTTTCCAGCGGCAAGCAATTCCGATTACGTCTTCAATGTCAAGTATTCCATCGCGGGGAAATTAACGATCTGATAATATTCGTACTTGTATCCAGATGCCGACTAATATTATTTATCTTTCTGCGCTACGAGAACATAATAACGTGCATGACAATTACTATTAACAATTATCTTTTCTTTTCCACACCACAGAAAAGTCCGAGGTTAAATTTCCAACTGTAAGACACGGAGAATTAATCTAAAGATAATTTAAGCAGATCTAAGAAAAGTTAGACTGTCTCGTCTCTCCGTGATTCCCTATTGACACCATGGCAGTGCGAATAATCTGACCTTTTATTGCTAATTTAAAATCATCCCAGAACTGTTAATTCCGCGTATTTGATTGTGAACGTATCTTTTTGAATGCTAGAGAAAACTTTTAATAGCGTGTAAATATGGTTTGATTATTATTATATATTTCCTTAAATAAACACTGACCGTGTAAACTAGTGTTAGAAAATAATGGCGATCGAATTCCCCGATAATAATGCATAAATAAAAACTACTTGTCTCAAGCTTTCAAATGTATCGTGCGACATTTGATGCTGGCGGTGCAGTGTTATCGTAAATGTGCCAGGTGCCTTGCAAAGTCGATAATTACATATTGACATGATAATTAGCAGAACCACAAATTGTGTATTCCTGATAACTTCTTCGTTGAGGATGCCTTTCATATGTTGTTTCACTAAACGCTTCAACATTCTCAGATACCAACAAATTCTGTTGGCATTCAGGTCGATTCCTCAGGGCTTTTCTATTGCACAGTAATATTTTACAATTTCATATTTATCAAAAGTTAACTTCTATTTGCTGTAGACAATCTTCCTTGTGTTTGAATCAGATTGGACAGATAAATAAGATGTTTAAATATTTCTAAGCGGAGGCACAACTAAATCTAGCATCTACCGTTCCTAGTCCTATAGGCATTGCTCTTTCGCACAATCTCTTTGTTTACTTTATTATCAAGCATGTGCGACAAATTGATCATCATTCCATCTAATCTTCCAGCACACAAGTTTTCGAACCGAATGTCTATTCGTACACGCTCACCAGACTACTCAGTAACAGTTCCTTTTCTCCAAATACAACCGTTTTCTCCGGACTCGACTATGTTGTCGCCCCGCGATTTTGCCCGCCTCACCTACATATCCATCGTCATTCAACTTCCCACGGATAAGAATACTAATGCATCTTCCTCGTGTATCTCTTTCAAAATGCCTTAGCGTGTTTTTCTATCATTTGATGTTGTTCTGTATTTGTTTAATACCGATATTGGTTATGGTTACTATAGTCAAATACAAGATGATACTAGATGAATACGATTACTCGCAAGCGAAATTTGATTGGAGAATAGATCCAAGAGGATATTTGATCCCGATGAATGGATCGATCGGTATGCGTAACGAGAGTGGAGGAGTGGAAATATTGTTGGATGGACATGTGCATACCACTCGATCAGATGGAAAAATGAGTCCCGAACAGGTTATTCAGTGGGGAATAGGTGAGCATTAAGAAAGAGATATCTCGGGAGATGATCTTTTGTTGGCAGATAAGCAAGAACGCGAGGAGCCTTGAGGATAGCGAAATGATGCGTTTTTATCTGCTTTTTTTATTTGCATATTAGCTAATGGATACAATGCGATGATTGCCAGTGATCACAATACAATCACAGGCGGTCTGGAGGCCAAGGAAATAGCCGAAAAGAAATATAACGACTCTATCATTATCATTCCTGCCATTGAGTACAGGTATGGGTGTTTGTTTACAAATTGTTATGTAGATTATTCTAGTTTTATAACAAACATTCATCTTCACAAACTTTCAGCACTTGTCGTATCCATATGAACCTAATCGGCCTAACGGAAAACATTCCAATTGGCCCAGCTGAACCTTCCGACGAGGATATAAAGCATATTATTGATCTAACGCACGAAATGGGTGGACTAGTATCTGTTAATCACATTCCATGGAGTAATAAGACTGGTATGCGAGGGAAAGCTGGAGATAAGTTGGAGTTTTGGGAAGACGTCTAGTCTTTGACCACAAATATGTGATGAAAGTGAGGTAGTAATATATTAGTGATTAAGTCTTATGTATTGCATAGAATCCGGATATGAAATTGCGACACTTCCAAATCATCCGACGCGCGAACAGTTAATTGAATGGGCAAGCTGATAATCTTTCTTTCCCCTTTTTCACAATTTTTTTATACAACCATATGTTAACTGACTGAACCTGGTGTATGTTCCTCGTCGATGCGGTCATGTCATAATACGTTCTTTTGCAATTGAAATCGAAAATTCTAGGGGGTAGACGCATTTGAAATAATCAACGGCGGAACATTCGACATGCAAACCTATCTCTATGTCTCCTCCTTATCGCATTCCCCTCCATTATTTCTTTTAACAGGAACGGATTTGCACTACCCGACTACCCCAGCTTACGCCTGGACACTCCTTTCAACACCGTCTTTCAGCAGTGAATCCCTTCTTAAAACTCTTCATTCCCGCCCATCTACATCGTTCCTTTTCGACCCAGCCGGCACGCGCTTTATATCTTATCCACCTCAACGATCGATATACTATGCTTTTCTTCCGATTATGAAATTGGCTGATTACTGGTCAAGCTTTTATGACGAGAGCCGAGGGATGTACTCATTCAGAGGGAGCTTTTGTCAGGAAAGAAAAGTTGTTTTGCATCGGGAGAGTTATGTGACATTCGCAGTGTTGTGTATTTGTATGTTGTTGTGGATTGAATTTGTTATGTGGGCAGTTAGATTTGCAGGGGAGAAGCTTAAGAAGTCGAATTTTGGACAGTTGTGGAGACGAAACCGGAGAAGGGGTAGTATAGATGAGTTTATTGAAGTGGAAATACCGGAAAAAGTGTGAAGATGGAGTTTGTTATTTTCACGGTTGAGCGCTACAATCGTGTTATGATCCCCATCACCGCTTCTTTATTTGTAGAGCGAACAGAATTCACTATTTTGCACAACGGTTGTTATTGTACATGTTACAAATAAATTAATCAACTATGTATAATCTTCTTGATCAGTGAGTTTTATGACAGCGTATGCTGGCTGGTAATTCCCAAACAGGCATCGACATAACGATAACAAAAATTGTGTCATTAAAATCTGGCCATCAGTTACACGAATAATGGAAGTTGTATTAGCAGAAGATTAATCCTATTTTAGTTAGTTGATCGTAGTGTTCAACAAACAGACCCGACCTTAATCTGGAAATCACTCTCTGGGCACAAGCAAATACTTTAATTGTCGATCCTGCAAATCTAATTATTCAAGTATTTGATTATACTCTGTGTTTATAAATGTTTTAAACGGTTTTACAATCCATTTTTTGACAGCCGACCTAGCATCACTACTCTAGTTAGGATCATTTCAATTTGTAAGAGTACTGGTATATTAATTACATTTTGTTCAATCAATTAAAGTCAACTCCTTTTTCCTATTTTCAGCGTATGTGTCTTTGTAAGTCTCCCATATACGAAACAATTCATCGATATATTTTTGTTGGATTGTCCTGAGTTCTTCTTCGGTTGGGTTATCTTTCTGTGTAACTTCTATTGGATTCCCGACTATATGAAAAGCAGCGATTGAAAGTAAGGAACGACAGCATTGACTATGATTACGTTTCCAAGGTCATTTCATACTTACCAATTGTTGTAATAGGCCTTCTATGTGGCATTAGTCCTACATTGTCTACGGGTTGTGTATATGCGCGGAATCAGTATAAAAAACGTTCAAGTCACTTGTCTCAAATATAGATAAAACTCTGCTCACAATTAAACACGCCGCGTCCATGGAAGAGTGGAAGAGTGAATCCAAGTAATCGTTGCATATTTTTCTGTAACTTCCACACAATGCCACCTTGCTCGTTATCAACTTGCTCCCAGATGTCATTTTCACCGAATGAAAAAACGGGAACAAGACACGCTCTGTTAAAGCAAAGGTTCGTTTACACGATCGCATATGAACCACACGTCATCAATAGGCAAATGTCAATAACTACAGAAATTATATCCCTAATACGTACCCATTTTGCACAGCCAGTTTGACGAATCCCAATCTCTTCTTCAGGGTCAAATCGTACACTCCGGGACGCGCGTTTAAACTTTCTGCTGCGCCACCAACAACTATCATGACCGAGTGTCCTGGACCCATGTTCAATATATTCCGGCAAGACGCCCGAGACACTGAAGCTACTCCCTGAAACATCACATGATCTCGATAGAAAGGAATGCTAAAATTACTAGTCAGCGTCAAGAGACGAACAATTAAGCCAGGGAACAATTTGGAGAAGTCAGTTGCTTCGGTTGCAAAGTTGGTCCATGCTCCAACTGCGATCACACCATGTGGATGATAACCTTGTTGTTTAAACAATTGAAATTAAGTTTAGAATAAGCTTTTACAAGGGACAGCAGAGCTTTTGTCAAAATACCAAATATGTAATTCTTGGACGGATCTAAATCGGCTTCCTGTTCAAATGAAGACAACGTCGTCAGTCACACGATTCAAACACCCAGAAAAGACTAATCTATTTGCTCTCACCTTGATCAAACTAATCGGAAAGTAATCTGCGTACCACTTCCAGAATCGTGCCTTTCGTGCCCATTCAAATCGCCTCCCTCCATTCTCAGGCGCAATGTCGAATAATAAGAACAATAAATATGTGATAATAAATGGCCAGAAGAACGGGACTGTACACATGAAGAAGAATATAAATAATGTGACTGGTAGTGATATCAGCCATAAGAAGACCACAGCCGTCTGGCGTCGCCTTTCGAATGGAACGTCTAAAGGTGCGACTCGGATAAATTTCATTCTTTATGTGTAACTACGAGTTGGAATAAAACAGAGGGGAGCTGTTTCTTGGTTAGTATAGCCGTGTGAAGCGCATACAACAAGCACGACGCGTTACGATTCTGAAGCAGCTAGGTGGTAACGTTTACAGAATTGCTCACAATGAGGGAACGACGCAACGAATTCAACAGATCGCACCACGCGCGGGCGTTATAGGCATACCAGAAATATAAATTCTATTGTGAAGTATAGCACAGTGCTTCGAGTAATAATGGGGGCTCAAGTGTCAGTACGTTTTATTGTTTCTTTTTTGACGAGAGGTGGATCCGTGAGTACTTTTGACATGGATAGGTCTTCACACGACATTTATTTAAAGGGTGTCGGAGTGAGACGGAATCTCAGATGTGTCGACAGCAAATAATAACAAAGATTGACGTTTCGCATATTTTCAGCGAATCTCGTCTAATATGGCATGTGGCGACATGACGACAATGACCATTGTGTCATGTAAGGGAATGTGACGAATCTTTCATGACCCATTTAAAAAAACTTGATTTCGGATATTTCCACACCAATCAGCCACGACATTTTTAGTTACTCTTATCATTGTTTATCAATACAAGTATTATTATAGAACTTAATTACTTGATTGCCACAGAAGACAAGCTCGTTTAAACGAAACAGAATGACTTGAACCAGGACAATGTTGCCTTCGGCCGTCACCGATTAACCGTTTATATGGGCATGTCACTGAATATATTCAAGCGCAAAGTGGCTACGTTTTATGCATAATGCAAAACAAAACCAAGCTAGTCAAAACGTGATCTTATTGGTCGTAGAAACAGTTGGATAACGTGTTGAAATGAAATTAATGAGTTTGGTTCTTGCATTATATGTATTAATAAACACAATTCTGATCGCATCCGAGCTTTTATAATGATGCACGCTTTCTGACTTAATAATTCAAGCCGTTGAAATTAGATAAAATGAAGCAAAACTAATATTGATGTTGCGGAAGAATTCAAGACTATGTTCAATGTAAAACCTGAGCTAAACTCAGATTATTTAACAAAGTTATTTACTCAACCCGCAAGCTAGGCAAGCAAATGCGCTGCTGCCTCTATACCAAATAATTATCGAGCAACACACGTATGAGTAAGTATAAGGCTTTGGATTGAGTATTAACCCTTCATACTTTAAGGGTACACAATTAAAATCAATAAATTTATTGTGTATATTGTAGCTATCGCAGCTAATATTTGGCTTTTCTAATTAACACTTGGGTTTGAGACAAGAGTCAGCAGCATTTCAAAGAACATTTACCATTTTAGAAACCCATTAATACAAGTGACTCGGGTTAAGCGACAGGATCCAGATGTCAGTTTTATCCAGCAACTAGGTTTAAAATCGACATCACAACATGTATGCGAGTAATTTAAGCCACCGCATTATTATTTACTCACGAACAAAAAACGAATCAATTTTTCGTTGAACGAAGCTCTTTCTGTATTCGCAAACACTTTACTGTCTACTTCAAAGTCTATTCTTGTTCGCAGCAGTAAGAACTTGGTCAAATGCAATAATAGGTTGCAAGTGATCTCCAGTCGTCTCAAATCTTCGGACTTCTTTTCTTGTACTTTTTGCGGCAATATCTTCGATTGTAGGCACATCAATTTCAATAAAATCGCGTGGAAAGACGGTTAATGAGATCTGCCAGCTTAATTTCATAAAGTTTGTCAAATTCATTGAAAGGAATGATATTAATCAAGTATATTTTCTGTACATCTGGTCATTCCAAATTTACTATATCTATATCTATATCTTATATTATATTTATATTATATTATGAATCAGGTCCAGACCAGATCTTGTCCTTTGCCAAGAACGTATAAAAATGGTATTAGCTACTTCTCTAAATTTACTAGTAAGACTTTTAATTTTGAAAATCTCTGTGCCTTTCAAACTTGGAAAATATTTCATGTTCAAATTGACTGAAATTGTTATAAAAAGGTTAGCTGCCAGATATAATTTAATCGAGTTCCAACGTTCAAAGTATTCAAGTTTCAAAATGTAATAGTTCGAAAAGTTCTCTAATTTGGATGCGAAAGATCAAATGAAATACATGATTAAATTCCAACCGTCGAAATAATATTGTTCACAATTGATTTTATCCGAACTTATGACACGACTGTGATGCTTGTCGGAATGCGGTTAATGATTCACCAAAAATGCATTAACACTCAATGTAAATTGTCAAGCCGATTTCTTCTATTTAAATCATTTATTGTTATGCTATGTTGATATTGCTGTTCGTTTCAATGGAGAACAAGCTTTTCTGCCGAGGGAATGAAAGTCTTAATGACTATTGTTTCTCGCGGTGAATGATTAGTAACTTACTCGACTTGTATGTTTGAAGTAATGGCTCCAGCGAGTGATGAACGAAGGTATGTTAGTTATTGGATATCACGTGAAACACGTTCCACTTATTGTCACTAAAGAAGTAACTCGAATACAGACTTGGCAGTTACTCATTCGAATAAAAAGTACTTGGGAGGCCGCCGTACTCGCATAGCAATTTAATCTTATCAGCAACTATATCTGACAAAATAGCGGGTGTAAAAATAATTTTCTACTTAGTATTATAGCGCGAGATACAGTGTGAAACCCCGGGTTTTTTGTTTTGAATTGTTAATCTTAGCACGCGCATGCAGATAATATCGAAATCTTGATTGGTTTATTTAATATGACTGTACTGTATATATACAGTCAACCCTCTTTATAGTCACCCCTCTATAAGCACAACATATAAAAAACCCCTTTATAAGCACACCATGTTTGAGAACCAATTACTATTGAACTTATAGAAAAAACCCTCTATATAGTCACAACCTCTTTATAGGCACATTTTTAACAAAAGTTGCATTGTTTCTGACAGCATAACTATATTATATATATGGGGCATGCTGTAACAAAACCAGACAAGGTGAACGTTTTATTATGTGACATAAATGAGAGGCTGATGTGGCTGAAAGTTAACTTGTCAAAATCAGATACCCAACTGACCAGATATCCACGCTCGTATCATGAACGCCAGTAAAAATCTCTAGTGTTATATAAATGGTAATCCAGAATCCTCTATCAGCCTTTTTGCATTGCATGAGTGATTAAGATCATTGTTACTAGAGCTTGCATTATTATACATCATATTTGTATTTTGTAATAAAGAAACAGAAATATATAGCATGATTTGTTATTCAATAATGACAATAATAATAAAGTTATCATTTTTACTCTCATTGTGTTGTTACTGTTGCTGAGACAATTAGAATCAGAGGCTATTCTGTTAGATACTGAACATGATATTGTGGAGAATAATGACGTTTTCTTCCCTAATTTCTGCATAACTCTGATCGTGAAACCATATATATTTGACAGGTACACCACAAGCAGCCAATAATAGGTAGAAATGACAGTTCGATAGTTATATAAGAAGCGCGTTTTTTAATGGTCACATAGTGTTCACATAATGTTCGCTTACCATAAATTCTTTTATTAATGTATTTTGAAATAGATTCGTTCTCTGATAACTATAGTAATAGTTGTGAACCACTTATCCCTATATCGATTAGGAATATCGTTCTTGTCCGTAGATATTCTTATGGCATTACGAAATGCATTTTAGATAAATACAAGTATCAGTATACTCCAACCTATAGGCTTCCATCGGATGGAATAGTCGATTAACTCGAGGGCGAATAACCATAACCATCTAGGATTATAAGAAAGGATGAAAAAAAGCAAAGCAGCTCATTTGAAACGTAGATTTATTTAACGACAAGTTAATATAGCAAGTGTCCTTTCACCATTTTTTTTTTCAACAAAAAGCTTGCGGCGCGTTTTCATAGAGTTAGCTAAATTAATTCTTTTTTCTACATTTATCTTGCAGAGATTTCTAATTAAATTTAAATCCGGACTGTTGCTAAAATATGTTTATGTCATTAACAGCAAAGTTTTCAATGACAAATGTGCAATTGCTTTGCCATTGTTCCAGAGTGTAATAGATTTGACGAGAGCACTTTTGGTCAACTTTTGAAAATAGATCACAAAAAAAGTTATGACAATGTCAAAATAAGTTTTTATTATATATAAAGCAGAACTTTACGTTTGTTTTGACTCGCAAGTTGGGTGATAGTGATTATTAAGCCATACGACAAACTTTCCCTTTTTTTTGTTACACACTGTAGATTGTGAGCCTGGTTTAAGGTCACCAACTGTCATATTTAACTTAAGTAGGAGAAACCACAGCTCTGCTAGAAAGAAAGCTAAATCCACAGTGTTGACACGACATATTATTCAAGTGCCAAAAATTCGAAAACAAATGGACAAACGCGTTTCCTATAATCTCAATAATGACAGTCCTAATTATTGTTTCAAAACTCACTTCACATAACTGAATCTACTTTTCACAAACCTCTTAGTTGTATTTCTGACCATCCTGTTTATCAATCTTCTGTGTCTAAACAACAAACTCCAATCAAAATGCAAGTTGCTATTGTATTTTTCGAGTCAACTATCGGGAGAGCGTTCAGTAATTGGCCTTGGATTTAGCTCTTCCAATCGAGGCTTGGATAACCTCTACTGCTTAAATAGCCGATACAGTTAGTGGCCTTTAAATTGGGTTTAGATACTCACGATTCTTACGCTATACGCAGATTCTCGATTGTCAATTACACTGCAGTTATAACTCTACCCTCTATCGATGGAATTAATTATACTCTAAAGTAAAACGCGCCGCAAGAAAGAACTTTTAGAAACATAATAAATTGGGGTTCGCGTTATAGTAATTTTTCACAGAGTACACAGGCAAACTCGATAAGTCGGTCATGTATGATGGACCGACTTATCGAGAGATTTTAAATATTAAAACTGAGAAAAGGGCTTGGAAAGTTTTGGCCTTCTGAGGCCAAAATTGAATCATCGAGACCGACTTATCGAGTTTGCCTGTGTACTTAGTCATGTTTAAAATGGAATTCTAGAGTAACATAATTGCTATTTTGGAAAATTCATTATTGTTCAGTTACTTGTGTTACCAAATCATGACACATGGTTAAATATCTCAAATTCTCTTGTAAATCAACGTTGTTGTTTCGAGATTAGTTAAACTGAACGACAAAAACAATGTCTGCTGCACCCGATTCCGCTGGAGGCAAACTAACATTTGCTGATAATGAGCAAGTTCTTTGCTTTCACGGACCACTATTATATGAAGCTAAAGTACGTAGTATTGACGTTCTGAGAAATCCTTATTTCGTGGGACGGCGCATGTTTTTAGAGTGAAAAATTTGACGTGTGATCAAAAGTGTGGCTATAGTGCGAGTACTTAAGAAAGACATATATCTAACAAAGTCCCTCCATTTTTACATTCCGCCACACCAATTAACGCGTCTTTCCAGGTGTTGAAAGCAGAGTATTGGGTTGGGAGAGAATCTTCCGACGAAAGTGGACCCCATTATTACGTGCACTACAAAGGCTGGAAGAGCACGTAGGTTTTTTGTTTTTTATGCTAGTTCCTTCGTTTCACGCGTTTTTTTGTCGAGGCTAACTGCTCATTCGTCGATCCTGTACCTTTTAGGTGGGATGAATGGGTACCAGAAGCAAGGGTTGTCAAATTGAACGAGGCCAATCTTGAAAGGCAACGACAACTAAAAACGGTGTATACTCCTTCGGGTGGTAATTCCGGCATGGTTGGCAAAAAAAAGTCATCTTCAAAGCTTTCTGAGAAAAGCACTGATAAGACAAGCGGTAAGGTATCTCGTAAGGTAAAATGCGCCATAACGTGCTAGCGATCTATTTGATATCAATTTATTAATAATCACTCTTGACTTTACATACTTAATTAGATGACAAGCCGGTGGAAGAGGTCAAGGTGCTACAAAAAAGAATCACTCAAAAGAGATCTGCTGACACAACAGTATCAGAATCAAAAAGAAAGACTAAGAAAACAAAACTCGAAAAGAAAAATAGTCAAAGTGATAACGATGGCGACGTTAATATGAAAGATACGGATGATCTTGGCGAATTCAAGGAGAATAATGCAGTGGCCAAAGATAGCAAAGGGAAAAAAGATCCTTCGGGCGTTTATTACAAAAGAGCTGATCTTACGCCCGAGGAGAGAGAACTGGTAAGTGTATAGAGTGCGTTAGTAGGCTGTATGAGAAGCGGTATGATAGCAGTTCCTAACTGTGATATCGGATTTGTTTTAGGAAGCCGAGTTTTTGAACCGGCCAGAGTTGCAAGTGTCTATTCCCGAGGCGCTCAAGGCTAAACTGATTGACGATTGGGAACATATTATATTACGTGGAGAGGTTAGTGACGAGTGTATTTGTTTGGAGAGACCGCGTGGCCTGTTTTCGTTGGCTGTAATGATGCACTTCATTCGCCACTGACGAGTATTATAAACATATACCAATGTTGTAGCTTGTTCCATTGCCCCGTCAACCTACGGTCATTGAGATTTTGAATCAATACATCGATGAGAAATCAAAAGCCGCAATAGCCAAGGGTGAAAGGTAAGTTTCTACGCGATCATCGACTTTTCCTCAACATGGCATTCACGTCCGAAAAAACATTTTCGCCATTGTTTAGATCTGATATTCACTCCGAGGTAGCAAATGGTATAAAAGTATATTTCGAAAAGGTCCTTTCTACCATGCTTCTTTATGCATCTGAGAGACAGCAGCTCTCTGATATGAAGACAAAATATGAAGACAAGACTTACTCTGAAATATATGGTGCAGAGCATTTGTTAAGATTATTTGGTAAGGGTTTGTATGCGGATGGTGAAATTGTTGCCGCTTTAAGAAGCTGATTGTTCGGTTATTTGTTTATAGTCGAGCTTCCTCAGCTGCTTGCTCATACGAATATTGACGAGGCTACGGCTGTTTCTCTGGTTGAACATCTGGTGAATTTTTTAAGGTAGGCATTGGCTTAAAGTGAAAAGAAGCGTGATATAATTTTGATTAGGATCACTAATTTCCTTTCGATGATCACTGTTCTGGTTGATTGGGAAGCCCGGATTCGAGGAGCGATATATTTAATTTAGTCTTATCGTATTGTAAGAAAATATTTTTGATATTATGCTCTAACGGTGTCTGTCTGATATATTTATGCAGATTTCTAGAGAAGAATGAGACACAGTATTTCCTTAATGAATATGAGCCAACCAGCGTAGTACCATACCCTAAATCAAAGAAATCTCACGAAAAGAAGACAAGCGGATGGGGTAACAATCCGGGTAAATGACACGTTAATATTGTCATTGAACGATCATTAATCATACTGATTATATCTCTACATAATGTAGCTGGTCTTTCATGTTATAATTGTGGTACGAGTGATACCCCTGGATGGAGAGCGGGGGAAACATCAGATCAGAAACTTTGTAATGGTAAGAAATTGCATATGCAATTCCGTAAAGTGATATGATTACTAATTTTTGACTTTGATTGTAATAAGCATGTGGATTGTATTATGCTAAATATAAATCACATCGACCACAACATTTATGGACACATATAAAAACTGGATCGAGCAAGTAAAAGCAACATAAACGCCTTTAACGTCCGTCCAACATACCGCTAATAAAGAACGCTACTACACAGAGTAAAGGCGCCATTGAATGTCCCGATTTATTATTAAGAGAGGAAGAATGTATCGACAGCTGTAAGCAAGAGCTTACTTACTAAGGGACAATGAAATCAATTGGGATATACTGAAGACGATATTTTCTGTTCGAATAAGAACTTATTGTCTAACGATGATCAGATTCAATTGCGTATGACATTCATTGATTAATATGGCCGTCGTGTAGGCTGTCATTATTAGTGAAGATGAATAAATATGTTAGATCTTCAGTCGTACTTAGTCCAAAAATAACCAACTCTGGGAGAACCTGGACACATGCAAAAAACCCTTTCATGAGTTAATCTTTGTATTGGGACAAGTCCTATTTGGGTAGTCCGTAAGTCCGAATATGATAAATTTATTGCTAAATCAACCTTTACACTATACTAAATGACATGGCATACACGGCATATGTAATGTACTATCCCTATCCATAGATGATGTCAATGGTGGTAAGAATTCCGCTTATTCCATGTTATCAAACGGAAGATTACTTTATTAATAGGTAGCTCTATACAATCTATCAGCAGATTTTAAGAAGAGACATTGGATGTCTATTAAAAATAATAATTATCACCCATCTTAACATACTATATTACAAGAAGCGACGAGTTCCCATTTTACTCAGCGCATATTCAAATATCTTGCGACGAATGGACGAATTGTTGCCGTCCATTCCTTGCACTATACCAGTCTTAGAATTATTTAAAGGAATAGACGGAACGCTTAATTGATAATTTTCAGACACTGTCCGCGATTTTGAAGGAGATGCAGGAGAGTTTGGTGGTGCAATAGGAAGATAAGGTGAAGACGGTGATAGGAGATTATTACAGATACTAGGTGAGAGACTACTAGAATTATTGTAGTTATTGTTGTTGTTATAATTATTGTTATCGTTTTCGTCATTATTGTCCTTGACATTATGCTCGAGAATATTTGGACACGTCATGGGAGTCTTTGAGACATTAGGTAGATCACCAGATAAGCCAGCCGATTCAAGTACGTTTAGTATGTTTGGAGGCACACTGGAAACGTTATCAAAAGACCGACCTGTCGGGCTTCCAACAGATTGACTGAATGCTGGAGAAGCAGGCGTATTCGGTGGAACTTTCGAAGAGTTATCTTCAAATTTTCCTTTAGTCGGTGTTGGAGTTAAAAGCGAGAATGGTGTGGCAGGAGTATTAGGAGGAGCATGCTGCAACATGGGGCTCTTTGGCGTAACTGCACCAATTGTCATGGATCTCGGTCGTATACGCTGAGATGATGGGGTTGCTGGAGTCCCTGGTGGTATGCACATATATGCCGATCCCAGCGGGGTTGGTGGCTCAGCATAATCAAATGGGGAGAATGGAGTATTAGGAACATTTTCACGGCCAATAGTTTTCATGATAAGGTCTTGGTGAGTAGACGTGGGTGGGCTGGGAAAGTTCATCAAGTCGAAACCAGACTCGCTAATAAACGCCATCTCTTCATCATGTACATATGTATCAAAGTATCCCTCTGCATCCTTTTCGTCCTCGTCACAATAAATGCATGTTGCTCTAAAGAACGCTTTAATGATTTCTATTGCTTCATCCTCTGCCACTACCTCGACCAACCTCCTCGCAAATCTACCGGGGAGAAGTCCTTCGATGAATTGATCATGCGCCAAAATCGTAGTTCTTCTGTCCTCGGTAGATAGGCCAAAGTAATAATAAACGAGTATTTCGTCGACTGCGCTACAGTAAGGCTCGAACAAGTTCAAGAGAGTAGCAAAGTTGATCAACGAGAAGAAATCCTGGGTAGATTGAATCTTCGACGCCAGCGACGAAGACAGCGTTTCATTGATATCGTCAGCATCGCAAGACGAGAAAAGCCAGTCCAACAATGCATCGATTATCTCAACGCGTTCAACAGGTGCTTCCACGTAAATCATGGGTAGACCTTGAGCCTCCTCTACAAGTTGCTGCTCTTCTTCAGCCGAAAGCTCGCCCGTAGCAACTGACTGTGATGCAACGCTAGCGTATTGTGTAGCCAAATCATGGAAAAGGATTGACTTTTGCATGAGATGGTTGGACTGTTCTACGGTTATCTTGTATAATTTGCTTACAGGCGGAGATATCGAGGTTGTTACTTTTAACATGAATAGGTGAGCGGAAGGTAGTAGCGCCGAGGGAGATAGAATTTGCTTTGGATTGACGCTTTCCAAAGGAAGCGCTTTTATACTAAGGTTAGCGGGCATGTTGTGTATAAAAACGTATGAATTGATAGAGGAGGGCGGTTATATTAGTCGATGAGTCGGTTATTATTATATTAGTCGAGGGATAATGATGGATATATGCACGTGTGAAAGAGGAAAGGAAGAGAAAAAGAAAGAATATCTGGGGTTTTCCGTTCAAAGTCGACAGTGGATTCTCTCGCGTGCTATTTATCATTGACGGTTGGGCAGTGGCCATGCATGATGTAATTCAAAACTCCTTGTTTCCTCTGCCCGAGCTCTGATAATAAGAAATTCGTTTTCTTTGTCATTTTTGTTCCTATTGTTCTTTCGTTATAGACTTTGTTTGGGGCTAATCCCAAGTTCATCGTTACACAGATCACAATACTCGATTAATATTAAGGTGATAACGCATCTCGGTTATAGATTATTACCCAAAAATGGTATTAGTATGGGTGACCTGACTTAAAAAATAGCGAAACAAGACATATTAATAAATAGCATAATTGTAAACCTCCTTTGAATTATACAGGATACTCGAATCAAGAAAGAGCTTAAATTCTTTTACATTAACTTGTGTTTAAAACTTTACAGGGTTTCTGAAACGTGGGAGGAAACATAATCTAGCGATATAACGGGAATAGTGATCGCCGATTTGAGTTTGAGCATGTAATTTGCAACAACGCACTGAAACTCTTCGGTCAAAGTCTTTCTGTGACTAAGCTTATCTAATCTTTTTTCAAAAACATCGAATACTAAGTAGTGCTGTATGTGGAAAATCCAATTTGTCACCTAGTTCGTGTGACCTCCATCATGCCTTTATTGGCGGGGTTTTAACATTAAAAATAGTAATAAGGCTTTTACGCATGATGCATATCACAATACAATGGGCGAGACATGCATAATACGTATAACAGGCTTTTTACAAAAACTGCCAAGACATGTAATACGAAGCTGTATTTTTCATCTAGTCTAGCAAAAAGTCAAAGTCTGTGTTGTTCTGCCTTGCTCGCGATTGAGTATAGTAATAGTATTAATATTAAAGGCCCACGGCATTCCCGATTCTCATTGTAACAATGATTGTTTGCCATCATAGACCAACAAGGCCAGTTAAACAAAGATATGTGCAGTTGGTTGTCTATTTGGCTAAGATTAAGCAAGAGTAAGGTTACAAATGACTAATACGGTATCATCAATCACCGTAACGTACAGCATAAATTTACCACGTTAGCTTTAATTGTGCTATCTATGTATTACTCATAAGGTTATAACAAATATTTTACAAGCGTTATCAGTTTGCATGAATTGTATAACGAGCAGAGCTGATCAACGGTAACTGTGTAATTATAATATAATGTAATAAAATTATCGTCGATAAAAATATGTCACCAGACGTGTTTGTTTGCGCCAGTATATTAATATACAGTAGATAGAACAATCTGTAAAAGTATCTGCAATGCGTTTGTTGAAAATCCCGGCAAATCGTAAAACCCTTCCCTATTACTATGCTCATAAATAATCTAGTCTTTTTCTTATCGATACATTCCATTGGTCCGGCGTTGATAATAATAAGGGGTTGTTTATCTTCCAGAGAACATTGAAAGGTTGAAGAAACTTTCGTGTCATATAACCGTTAATCACCGCTCAAATAGAGAGTGCATTGTTAGATTCTCAAACTTTGCATCTAAAAGCCCCTGACTGATCCCCGATCCCCTCCCCGTATAGAAGGTCTCTGACCAAAAATAGGCCCGAGGATAAACGGAAAGCAACAGTAAAAGTACTAAAAACCTGGGCGCTAATCTATTCGGGACTAGCAGTTTAAAATTTAACAAACAAACAAACGTGAAACTCATCGTCAGCATGTGAGACTCTCAGGCGAATTTATTGTCAAATGATATCCGAGAATTTAAAACCTTTTCTTGAATATACCAATCAACACGAATTTAGACATGCAAAACCGAACCGCTTTTATTTTGGGAATGTATGTTACATTTTTTTTGTCGAGTGTTTGATTATCTACGTTCTACAATGTTTATGTACATTTCATGGAAAAAGCAAAATTACGGTAATCCGATTGTTTTTCTATAAGAATTTTTTGGTGTATATAGTCTCGAATCAAAGGAACAAAAAGCAAACATCACCGAATAAAGATCATGCGCGCATAAACATATATCTCTATTCAGTATAGTCTTTTGCTTTACTTTACCAATTCATCCCTCAATCGACTTGATCCTAATTAACCAAACTACAAAGAATCACATATAAACCGTGAGAATTCTTTCCAAAGCGGACGTATCCGAATCGACTCCAAATAGAAACTTATTAAAGAGACTTATTTTAGTAAACCTACAAAGCACCCTTTTCCCATGGCTTGTTGATTATTGGACAATTGTCGTAATGATAGTCAGAGTAAGTGATGTGAGGCGACTTTTGAGATATCTCTGAAATTTGTGATTCATACATTTCAAAGTGGGAACGATCACAGTACTCATCATTTGAATCTGCTGCTCTACTATTATCATGGTCCGCACTATCCCTGCTATCAATGCTTCTATCATCGTCATCACTATTATCAGCAATGCTTTCTTGTTCATGTGATCCTTCTTCTTCTTCGTCCCATGACGCGTCGTTCTGGTCCCTGAATGCAATGTCAAAACGCTCTTCCAAGGAGCTAGCTGTTCGCGCATTCACATCCATCTCGGCATTTTCAACCGACCCAACATTCTCCATCTTATGACAAGTATTACTGTCACTGTCATGCTCACCATGATTGACAGAATTTTCAAACGGCGTAATCTCTGTTGTTTCACCATACTGCATAGCCGCTGAATGAGCAGTGGTCGCCCATTTCGAAATAACTGCATCGGGATGGAAAAATTTTCTCATATCGTCATACCATCGTTTTACGGCCTGGACCGCCAAGTTAAATAGAATAGACAAAGACTGGTTCGTTTGGAGAAGAAGGGAAACCGCTTGGGTAGTGACGATATGGACTAAATTGGAAATAGGCAGGATGGTGTCCGGGAGAAAAGAGGCAAATGACAAATTGGAACGTTCGGCTGACGACGCGTCTTCTTCGATCAATTTATCCGAGTCTTTGACAGTACCATTTTGGGTTATGGCGTCAGCCTCGTCTGCTGCATCTGCGGTACGCCTATCGTCACGGTTTTGCATTTGTTCCTTCATCCCTCTTTCCAAGACCAACTTTCGTATCAACCTAGCACAGTCTTCATAATATTTTTCAGATCCTTTGACAAACGACCATCCATTTACATCAATGACGTAACTTTTCTCCTTTACTCTCAACAAGTCAAATCCACAAATCCATTGTGCAAAGATTTTAACAATCCTTCCAGAGATTTCTTTCTCCTCTTCCGTCAATTCTGTGACACGTCTGACTTCTTTACCGTCTTTACAACGATCTACCCGCCCATCAACAGTAGGCGATTTGCGAGCTTCTGCATGAGTATATCCAGGGCCAATGGTATATACTTTCACATCCGAAGAATTATCGGGTGGAAGATATGCCTCGTATATGTATGAACCGGATGTACGCGGAGTGGTCAGGGCCTGATCGAAATCGCTCGATTTGTTGTTTACCTGGAATTAAGGTTGGAATATATGAAATTTGATAATAAATGTATTAATAACTATGAGGCGTAGACTGCTAATAAAGAAGTGTATGTGGAACGGTACAAGCAAGCTTGATTCAATATACAAGCATCCTTTTCCATAACAAAGTCTAAATTATATATGCGTTTTGGTAAAATTAGTATTGCGATTCGCTCCATGTTTACCCGATAGCTTACCTTTCTAAATAATCTTCTACCACCACCTCCCATCTCTTTTGAATAATATATGTACACATTGTGATCATCCGCATCGACTGGCTTCTCGACAAATGGCTTTTTCAAAATCTGTCCTCCAATCTTTACAGTGTCTTCGTCAACCATCTCGACATGGGTATTCTCAATCTCGCAAAAACCATCCAAATTAATTTCGACGCCTGTTGCGATTTTGATCTGGTCGATAACGCTCGGATCTACTTTACACCGATCTCTATTGATTATTATTCTTGGGGGAGTCGGGACTCCTACTGCGTCGAGAAGTGCAAGAACAAGTCTTCGATCCCAAAGTAGACGCTGCATAGTGAGGTCATTGATACAAAAAGGCTTCTTTAGTCTTGCATATGATTCAGCCTTCTCCAACGGAAAGCCGGAGCTGAAGAAAGATATCAAGGTGTGACAGTGAGGCCATGAATGGACATCTGTTTGTCGGGTATGCGCGTGAGAAGAAACGGAAATAGGAAAGTACGAACGAAGGGTAGAATGGAAGAGGCCACAAAATAAAAGTTCTTACAAGTAGCGTCTTTCTTCGCATAGAACCATTACTATTGTAATGAGCGAGACCATGTATATAGTACATACCTTTTGTCAGTATGAGTTCTTCATCGAATGTTATGACATCTATTTCATTATATGCAACTAGTCTATTTAGTATGCTCTTCATAGGCTTTGAAGTCGCCTTGCTTTTCATAGCACATACGCCTATTACGTCTACGAGACAAGAAGAAATAAGTGAGCTGAACGAATAACGAACGTCGCTTTTCCCCATGTCTGCAAATCTACAGCAGTAGTCTCCCACCCTCTTTCCACGTACTTACACTTTTGATTTGGAACATTATCCGCAGGCACTTGCGGTGATATTGTTCTGGGATACATCTTTGGTGGTGTCATATTCTGCTAAAAAATACCTCTGACAGTTATTTTCTACAAGGTAAGGAGACAATCTTTTTACTCTTCAGAGAACCTTCTGTCGTATCTATTTGTATCAAACGTGCTTTTATCTGTATTTGGTGTAATCATATTTGCGTATTTATGGGTATATATACGATAATCTAAGTAACCGAGAGTTACGTTTGTTCGGTGAAACACAATGGCTTATTTATAGGCTATACAAATTATAACGAGTATGATTTCTAATTGTGAAACTAAGCGGGCATTGAAAATTCTGCGCAAAAAAAAATAAAAATTTCATCCAATCATTTTTTCCTGATCATCATCAATAAAAAACTGAATACTGCGCACGTTTATATATTTAAACCACGTGACAATTGATAATCATCTCAATTGGGGAAACAAAATCAAGGGGGTAGATTGTAACAATGCGAGCGGTATATTGGGGTAAGACCAATTCGGTTAGTGCTCAGGTAAAAAGGAAAGGTGTTGAAAATGACAGGAACCCAACACTATTATCATTGCCATGACCTAAATTCAGGCTAGTATTGTAACACCGTCTAGGTACATGCATATAATATCGATATTTAGCAATTTTTTGGTCGTATAACTTTCCTTAAACTTGACTTGAACTATTCATTGGGCAGTGTTTTAACAACACGTGCATAGTTAATACAGCCTTGACAATGAGCATACGAATTGTCTTCTGCTGCTGTGTCACTTTGAGTGGCTTTGAAGGCTGCTTACTATAAGGATACTTACTAATAAGAAAAATGCCGGATTAAAGTTCTCGAAAATATGGAAAACTGTCTCAGGAACACATGATTAAATAAAATGTACTTTACAAGATTAAAATAACCTACGCCTATTTACACGCCATCAACTTTCTAAAAAGCATCATTCATGCTCTTACACACAGCCCACACACAAATAAGTTGTATCAACGCCCCTCTGCATCATTCACACGGTTCCATTTCCTCCGACTCTTATCTCTCCATCTTTTCTGAACGAGAATAAATGAGGATGCCGTCTGGTTACTGGAATGGTTGTCATCTCTAGCATGCAGGACGCAGATCCGCCCTAAAGGAAAACGAACTACAAAACCGTTATTAAATGATATAGATAGATTAATTAATTTAATTCACGTGAATTTGTGGGGGTTTCCTCTTACAATTGCGATCCAGTGTCCTCAGACATGTCTCTTGTATACAAGAGATCAATCAGCGTTTCAAGTCACCACGGCGTCGCTTGGCCCTCCATTTTTGATCTTGAATTACCCTCTGAAATCGACGATATTCCTCGTTGCCTGACTGCCGCGACAGTCGCTTGAGTCTTTGGGAGCTAGAATTCATGCTAGCGTCCTTGAGAAGTGCGTCTGATGCAAAGTCTAATGCGGTTGTTTCAAGTTTAGACAGCCATTCATGGACTTTTTCAAGTGTTCCCATCGTTGTCGATTGCGAGAGCTTAGGATACAAGCTATTCGATCTTATCCTTGCATCTTCATCCTTTCTCTTCTCATTCACTTTCCTATCATGCGGTTCATTGTTTGTCTTTTCATCATTGCTTCCTACTGCCTCAAGACCTAAAGGACCTTTGTGAGCGCTCTCCATCGGTGCTCCCACAACAGGGTACTTTCTTTGTAAATAAACAACAACATAAATGCGTAAAAAATCGCGTCGTTTATTTACTGCAAGCGTTTTATTAGTCGTCGTCATGTGATATGACGGTGTTTGTATTATCAATGCTGTGACACAGCCCATGGGACTGAATTATTCTGTCCTCTTCTAGCTTGTAGAACCCAAGTAGTTTCCTCGCGAAGAGGAAGCAGGAAATTGCGACTATACAACTATTACAAGAAACTATATAGGCATTCCAAACAGACTCGCGCATTACAAGGCGATCCGATTTTTTCTAATAATCACGTTTCAATTAACCTCGTTTAGCAAAGTGAAGTGGAGAATCGTCTACTCGCATTAGAAGGTTGCAATAAAGCAACGGATAAGTGAGTAAGTTGTGGAAGCGTGACATGAAGGTCATTCTTTTTCCATTGTAAAATTGCTGAAGCAATGGAAATCAAATTATTCGTATTGCTAGATGAATATATTTTGGCGTTTTATCCATATATGCTTGCTTTTTTATTGACAAGTTGATGATTGGCAATCTTTTGTATAAGCTGTAACAAATACTCTATAATTACTCCTGAGAGAGAGGATTGCTTTTAATGAATTCGTCGCGACAGATGAGAGGGCGCCATCCTGGCCACAACTTACAAGAGAGGTTAAGGTTTTCGTTTTCTCTAGACAGTAGTTTTTCTCTGTTCAACACCACGGTGTGCTGATTACACTAATGTGGACATGCGTTGCCGGAAAAAAAAGCAAATTTTTTGACTTAAAATACGTCCTCTTTCTAAGATCTGAACGTATGGGAGATGTAGACAAGTGAATTTTAAACAATTCTGCATACACTCCACAGCAAGATTAAATGACATACAATTTTTTAACCTCGCTTTTCCAGTTTTTTATTTGTGCTCATACAAAGATGCACTCTTTGCCCAAATAATAAATATGCATTAACATCGCATTTATTGATGCAGCTATTAAAGTGAATCGTCATATTGCGCACGAATCAGATACGCGACAATTTGCACGCTTTCCACTATTTTTTTTTTACCAACTTCAAACAGACTCTAAATTACTAATGATTTGGTTCGTAAAATCTGTATTTGACGCTGTGCCGCCTAGATCTCGTGTCAATTTCTTACCATCGGCAATCGTTTTTAATACGGCAGATTCAATGACATCTGCATAATTGTTGAGCCGCATGTGACGAAGCATCATTATGGAAGATAACAACAGAGCTGTGGGATTTGCTAGATCTATAATGTAAATAGATTGCAGAAGCATGAGACATTTAAAATGATCTGGCAACGCCTTCATTTAATCACGAGACAATTGCTGGAGACACACGTAGGAATATATACCTTTGCCAGCAATGTCGGGTGCCGTTCCGTGTACGGCTTCAAAAATCGAGGCATCTCTTCCGATGTTCCCAGATGGTGTTAGCCCAAGACCCCCGATCAAGCCAGCACACATGTCTGACAAGATATCTCCGTACAAGTTAGGCATTACCATTACAACATTCGAGTAAAGAGAAGGATCTTGTACAATCTAAAAATTATGGTTCGGTAGTTTAATTTAGTAAAAAAAAAAAGGTTGAATTCAATTCCAAAATACTTGTTGTACTTACGTGAAGACACGCTCTGTCCAACAGAACGTCATCAAATTTAACGTCTGGGAAATCCTTGGCGACTTCGCTACACGCATCCAAGAACAAACCGTCTGACATTCTCCTACAAGTATTAACCGACATGCAAATCAATCAGCGTTTAATGAATACGGCGGAAAGCTTTTTCGACGTGGTCACGTACATTATGTTAGCTTTATGAACGGCAGTAACATGGTTACGACCAATGTCCCGAGCATGTTGGAATGCATAGCGAGCACAGCGCTCGGATGCAACTTTGGTAATAAGCTTTATAGATTGAACGACTCCATCGACGACCTAAATCAGCATGTCAAATGAGCATTCCGATTCAATCTGCACACCTTTTAATTGATTGAAACATTGCTCACCAAATGCTCAATGCCCGAATATTCTCCCTCTGTGTTCTCTCTAATTAATACTGTATCGACATCATCGTATACCGTTTTATAACCCACAATCGATTTACACGGACGCACGTTCGCGAACAGATTAAAGGTACGTCTCAGAGTCAAGTTAAGAGACACATGACCCTTGCCAATCGGTGTTGCCAATGGTCCTATAAACCATATTTATATCGATTACAGTAGATTGAATTTTTAAAGATGCGCCTTTCACTTTTGGGAAACCTCTGTATAGCAAGAATAGTATCCACATACCTTTTAAAGCAACAGTGTTCCTTTTCACAGATTTCGACGCCTCATCCGGGATGACAGTCTTGCCATCCTTCAAATAAGGTACCACATTAACCTCCTCCCACTCAATGGGTACCTGTTACAAACGAAATTCAACAAAAACAGACTTTTATAAGAATAAAAGAAGTGTATTCAGTCAAACAGTGGATCGAAAAGACAAACAGTCAATCCTCCCGCTTTAATCTCGTAGAAATGGTATAGATCAATTGAAAGCTTACATTAGCAGCACTATAGATTCTTTTCACCGACTCTGATATCTCGGGTCCAATACCATCTCCTGGAATAATTGTGACGGTATAGTTTCCCTAATATGAAAACATCCGACGGTCAGAAAAGCGTATAACGCTCTCTACGAAAAATTAACGAAACAAAGGTTGAGATATCGTACTTTGGCGTTTTTCTTACTATTGAAACTATGCGAAGTGCCTGTTGCGGTTGCTAAAGAGCGAGTACCTATTCGCTGTTAAACGTTTATAGTTAGTTGGGGGTTTACATCTATCGTGATCAATTATTATGTATCGTACCTTTGTTAAGTTAATAGTCCTGAAAGGCGCATGTAGTCTTAAGAAGGACATTGGAATATCTTCAGAGAATTTCTCATTAAACTGATAAATGATAAAATCAGTGATTAAGATTTTATTATTATCGGGTCTGACAACTTAAAATTTTTTTGGTAATCGGTTCCGATTAAAGCATTGTGTGCTTTGATAACAGAAAATACAGGGTCCTTTCATTTGTACCCTTCCATTTTTAGGCAGAAATATTAATGATTCTAAAGGGAGTCATAAATGGTTTGATTTTCGTTAGTGGCATTCATTACTATTACATCGTTTGTATCAAAGACCATTGTGCAGTAAATTTGGTCACGGTTTCTTTCATACTCATTTCCAAATAAAGCAGGCAAACGATTAAAGTTTCCTGATTGGTCGGAAATTCAACTGCGATATAATAATAACGCGTAGCCTGCGATGATGTAGCCTGAACCGTATATTAAATAAATACCGTAGGATTCATTAACATAAAGAACTTAATTCGACAGGAGACTAAGTGGTTCTTATTTTCCTCCTCTCCCTCCACACTCTCACTTTTATTAGTTTAATACAACACACAAGAGCTATGCCTTAATCGATGCGGGTAGTAAACAAGACCGCTTCTAGAGCTAAATTTTGATCCCCAACACGACTGATGATATCAGTGTTTAGTGCAGCCTTCATATCACACACCGATCAAAGGTACACCACTTCTCTGATAGAAGTTTGAACGTATTATTAACGATAATCAAGCTTAGCGTGTTGACGGTAGTTTATTATCAGGAGGTGAGGGAGGAAATTTAGGAAAAGAGCGAGTGCGAAGATGCAATACACTAGTAGCGGTATGAGCAATTAGGTAGTTGTAAATGATGGACAAAAAGTCTGTTCAAATATATTGTAGACGACACAGTTATGCGAGAAAGCTCCTCCATTACCTTGTGGGATGTGGTGAATCTGTATCCCGCTCAATTCCATGTACTGGCTGTGGTATATTGATCAAGTCGTAAGAAAGTCAAATTAATTGAAAACTGCATATTTTATTTCTTAATGTCATTCTCTTTAATATGACAGCAAAACCAACATAAAAATACGTATTAGCAAAACAAACGTTAGTATGCCTCGCAATTTATAACTTTGATTGTCCGAGTGCTGAATTATTGAAGCAAAAGAGCGGATAACTTCGTATTATGATACTGTGTTTATATATAATTAGTAGACACTTGTTAACAAACTACTTCTTAAGTCAACCGCTTGATGATCTGCATGATTTGCACACTGCGTGACATATCATTTGACCTTAATTGTCTTTCTAATTTCTACCATCCCATTCTTCTACAAAATGTCACAGAAAGAGAGTATGTGAGTGAATCTTTTTCCAATTTGACGGTGTTCGTTAATACATACTGGCTTACTCTTAGTATTCACCATGCGATCCGGCAGCTAGTCCTGTATCGACACTTCAACCAGATCAATGTCAATTGAATCTATGTGTGAAAGTGATTACGCCGATAATGCTTGGTGAAGTTAGCGACAACGCATGTAGGTTTGGTTTTGACGTCGCCAAAAAGAGAACGGCGTATGTTCACCATACCATACACTAATACACATGCTTTTCTATCTCTTTGGTCACTAGCATGGGTAAAAGTAAAAGTAGCAGAATTTCTGGTTGGCGATGCGACTGGATGCGTGATATTAAAAGCAATTGATGGTATGACTGCCACTTGTTTATCCTGCTCGTTTTCTTAACCCAGTGATTCAAATATCCCATTAACATTGTAAATCATACCCCTTCATAAGAACAAATCTCACTTCTAGTCCCTCAAACAACCGTTCTTCTCGAGAATGCCCGTATAGAGATGTATCGTGGCTTTATGCGATTAATTGTAGATAATAATGCAAACGGAGCAATAATACCAGTGGATGAGGGACCAGAAAGTGTAAACATGGATAAGAACGTTAGTTTGGTTGAATATCAGTACGTTCCAGGAATATGTGTTTGAACTTGGTCGGTTTGTAAATTTCGTTATTTGTTTTGAAGAGTTGGGGGGGGGGGGTGACTTTGTATTGGTTTGGATTCCAATGTAAGAGTAGAGTAAATCAGCTCATTCATCGGTTTTATACATTCATTTATAGAGTCTTTTGTATTATTGCAAGCACTCACAAATAGTCTAGCATTCATATGCCTTATCACATGATCCCATTCTTTTCATCTTCCTTTCGGTTTTCTGCATGTTTTTGTTGGAAATCTCATACACATCGTACACTTTTGTAATAACACATTTTGATAATTCCGGTGCATAGTCTTAAGTATTAATGTGGGAAAGTGAACACAGAGTTCCGGAGAGTCTAATACTGGTGCATTCTTTACTTCCCTTTATTACTTCACGGGCAATTGGACGCTCTGTGAGCAGATACGAGAAAGATTTAAGTGAACGGAAATTTATCAGAATCATGGTTTAATCAATACCGTGTAGTCACCCTCCCCGAGCGTTTAAAACCGTCCTGTTAATAATTTTTCATCACCGTGATTGATCAAATGAAAAAATTAAACTGACCGAGGAATCAGGGTATCCGTTTTAATACATTAATTTGAGTGATGCCGAATATATGCTACATACAGCATGTTCTTAAATTTCTCTCCCCCAACTGCGAATGTTATTTCAAATAAACAAATCATTATGATCTTAATGCCAACAGTTCCCCGGAACAAAAACAAAGACTTTTTGTAATATTAGAACTATTACTATACTAAAACGTGTTGCATTATCATCCAATCAAATCCTTTAACGATGCCAACCAATAAAATTCTGGGCACGTCCACATTAGTGACACCTAGATTTTTCAATCTTAACGTTAAAACATTTTGTCTTCGCTGCCATAGCATTCTTTCCTATTTATTATTGCTTGCTGTATTCCGCCACAAGAGAAATCACACTCCTTCAACAAATGCCGGCAGTTCATGACCTCTGCGCACGAATTCAGAACGGATTCCGAGCACAATTAAGATCGATATCTGTACCCGATAAAAAAATGAACCTTGCCATATGCAACGCTCTTTACCGTGAAGGTTTTATATCCTCGGTCACTCGGGGCGATCACCGGGGACCGGATAAAGAGTTTGTGCCAAACACACCGGAGAATATAGCTATGCGTCGGTTATGGCTTGAATTGAAATACAGGCAGAATGAGTCGGTCTTGAGGAGAATGAGCTGTGTTAGTAAGGGATCGAGACGCGTTTATATGAATGTGGAGGAATTGCAAAGGTTTTTAGCTGGACAGCGAGTGGATTTTGTGGGTGGCTTGAAGATTGGAGAGGTCGCTATTATTAGCACTACGCTTGGAGTCATAAGTGTCCATGAGGCAATAGCCTGTAATCAAGGCGGAGAGGTGTTGTGCAGAATTTGGTGACAGCGTATACGTGAATTGAAGGATGAATTTGGACTTTTGAACTTTTGATTTATAAAGCTTCATGAGAGCTTGGTAATTCCCTCGGGCCATAGATGTTACGGTTACGGTTGATTAAAGGAGAAGGATGTGTATTTTGAGCTGTTTTCCAGTAAATACGCCTTATTCCGGCCGATTGTTATACGCGCTAAAATAGAGCGAATGTATTAAGATAAATCCCTAATTCTGCGCTATATTCAGTGGGGTAAACCCATCTGTTTCGTCATTGCATAAGCTATAGGATTTTGATTGTATTTAGTAACTAATCTAACATTAACATCTACAGTGCGCGAAAAAAGTTTTTGGAATGAAAATTTACAAATATGCTCTTCATCGTACAACACACATTCCCGTCCATTATTTTGTTCAATCTTGACTTTGAATCAAATTAACATAACACATAAGTGCGTTTTCCAATCTCTTCCCAAGACTTTTATTTTAAGCTTCTTAATATCATATACTTAGAAGGCAAAATAAAAGTTAATTTATATAAAGTGTAGGCACCATTTTGCATAGAGTTGTTATGATCTTGCGACATCGGTCAATCAAAACCTTGTCGTTGTATTTTATGTGACTGAGTTTTTTGTCGTTGTTACGTGCATAAGAATAGAACGCACAAAACGTATTAGTATTAGTTGACTTGATTAGACGCGTATTTTGGAAGGAAATAAAGTCTATGCATTTCATTCCAAAAACTTTTTTCGCGCACTGTAATTGTTTTTGATCGGCCTTCATTTTTTTCGAGTACATTGTTTTCCAAGTTACAGGAAAAAGATAATCTACATTGCGCCCAGAGAACAAAATACACGCATTTAGAAACATTAAAGTGAATGCTATAAACGTTAATACAATGGCCAGGGAAGAACGAAACCTATTTATAATTAAATTGCATTCTGGAAATTTATGGTCTTCTTTAATAAAATTCACCTTTGGCATTTGATGTGGAGAGAGGTGTATGCCAGACTTTACGACAATTACAATTTCGAAATTGGATATAAACGAACTTTTAAATAGCAAAGCAAAATTGTGTCTTCGTTAAATGAATAAAACTCGTATAAACAATCCGTGAATTACAAGTTTATTTAAAAAAGAGGTTGAGTCTCTAAATTATAAGAAATGGACAATGTTAACATTGTAAATTGACTTCATTTGTATCAACATATAACTGCATGCCTGCGGCTGACTCCAAACCATAGCTATTTCTTGGTTTAGGTAATCATCCTGTAGGTAAGAGCTTACTGGAATATTTACTTTCCTTTTCGAGACATGATAAGGGTATTATATCATTATGATAAACGGCATTCCATATGTTGTCATCAGAATTGTCTTTTTTCACCTCTTCAAGAAGCTGGTCGATATCATGCACTAGGCTCGATAAATTTGGACGCTTATCAGGATCAGCATCCCAACACCGCTCGGCAAGTTTCTTGTATTCCTCTGGTGCAGAATCGGGCATCGACGGTCGTAGTCCGCTCATAATATCGCATGCTAAATCTCTATCGAACTGCCTATCCCTAAAAGGTGGTTCACCAGTAGCAATCAAATACATAA